GAGGTTGAGGAGGAGGGGAGAGACACATGGGTAATGAAACAATATTGTCACACAATTGAATGTTTACAGGCAAGAAAAATAATTTGAGAGAAGCAAGGGGAGGGGAAGGGACTGTTACATGCTCTCCCTCACACACACACACACACACACACACACACACACACACACACACACACACACACAGTGACTGTCACACTGGTATTGGCATGTGTGGTCAGTGGTTTCAAGTTGTGCTTTTATATTTCAGGTCATTCTTTCACATTCTGATCTTAGTCATGTGTGTGATGTCAAAAATCAATGGTTTTAAAAGGATTCATCAGATAGGGAGTAAATTTATAGAATAATACATCACATGATCGAATTACTCCATTTTTACAATCAAAAATATATTTCTTCTGTGTATTGAGTTGCAACTGATGCATTTGATATAAAGATGTATTTCTTTTCATATCTATATTCAGATGGCTAATAGGTTTCTTCTGTCTTAATTAACTCAAGTTCAAAGATTGTAACAGTTGAAGGTGAGAAATGTGATGTGGAGGGGAAGGAAAGAATTCTGAATATTTATTTTTTAGATTTCTTTCAATTTTTTGTGCAATAAAATTTTGAGTGATTTCTGTGGGTAATATTTAGAAAGAACTAGAGGCATGATAGAATTCCCAAAATTTTAAAACTTGTTTTAGTTCTAAAATTACTGATTTACTGGTCCAGGATGGTAAAACTCTTTAAATGGTGTTAAATGGTTACAAAACTTTAATTATTTTTACCATATAAAATTTACCTACCTTGTTTGGGACAATATCAAAGAGTTGGAGACTTTAAAAATAAACTTAGGTTATGGACAGCATAATCAAAACAATCTCTGAAATTATGATTTATTGAAAATTTCATCTATAAAGTGTGAAAATAAAGAAGCAAAATCAAACCTTTCTTTTTGTTGTTTTTTCTTTCTTAGTGTGTTAGCATTTTAAAGCCAGCAATAATGACACATCTTCTTCATGTGAAAAAACACTGCATGTGTGGACTACAGAATACTGACACAGGTTGCTTAGATAATACTTATATTTTGCATTCATAACATGAACCTCATTTAGATTTTGATATTGCCCTACTCATTTTGACTATAAGGGAATGGAAACAATGTTCTGCAGGTGGAGACAGACCATGTGATTGTGTTAGCTGCTCCTGCCAGATCCAAAATAATGCTAAGGGCAACAAGGGAAAAGAATAGAAGAAGACAATTTTACTATCATATGCAAGGCACAAAGATTAAAGAAATTCTTGGTTTTGGCCCTTTTTCTTTGGGAGAAGGGTTAGGTCAGAGAGAAAGGGATGACAGGTCTGTAGCCAGCAAATTCAAAAGGGGGGTTCTTTTTCTGTAAAGTGGACCTTATATAATGAAACCTTTGTGTACCTAGATCAAATTGTGCCCAAAATGGACTTTTTTCTGACAAAAAGGGTGGTTCTTTTGAACCCCCCGAACCCCCCTGGCTACGGGCCTGGATGAGCATGTGTCCTCCCCTGGGTCCACCATTGCTAAAATGATTGACTAGCTAAGCTGTAGCACATTACTTAATTAATTGCATACAACATACTAATCTCTGAATTAAATGTGCAATTATTGTGTAACATTTTTTTATTGTGTAGAGCACATGTACTAGGCAAACTTCATATAAAGTAGAATGTGCTTTTTTATGTTATTATAGAAAAACTATTGCAATTGTTAAAGATAATAATCTTTATGGAGCACTAAAATGTGTACAAGTTACATTTTACAGGCTCTCTACTCTGATTATAACATCTTTACAACAACTATATAAATCTATACAAAATACATATGGAATGATTACTGGGAAGTAGCACAGAATAAAACGACTATTGCTATTGATGAGTGTATCATTTTTTCAAACTTTCATATATACTGTATATTTTCAGAATATCATTTTGCATACAACATACTAATCTCTGAATTAAATGTGCAATTATTGTGTAACATTTTTTTATTGTGTAGAGCACATGTACTAGGCAAACTTCATATAAAGTAGAATGTGCTTTTTTATGTTATTATAGAAAAACTATTGCAATTGTTAAAGATAATAATCTTTATGGAGCACTAAAATGTGTACAAGTTACATTTTACAGGCTCTCTACTCTGATTATAACATCTTTACAACAACTATATAAATCTATACAAAATACATATGGAATGATTACTGGGAAGTAGCACAGAATAAAACGACTATTGCTATTGATGAGTGTATCGTTTTTTTCAAACTTTCATATATATATTTTCAGAATATCATTTTCAGAATTTCATATATCATTTTCAGAATATATATATATGAAAGTATTCTGAAAATGATATATGAAATTCTGAAAATGATATTCTGAAAATATATATATGAAAGTTTAGCCTTTTTTTCTGATGGCATGGCTTTCATTAAGAGATATTTTTCAGGGGTGTTAACTTTTAAAAGTAAACTATATGCCCTAAGTGTACTATAGTCTCCACTTTAATATATATTTCAGGTCTTTCCAAAATAGTTCATCAATCTTATTGTTGATAGTATCTCTCAGGTTTTCAAAAGTATCTAGCGTTTGTGAATCAGTTTTATGACCAAGACCCCAACATTGTATAAATGTTCTAATTGATCCAGACCAACATGCAGGCTTCTTTTTCTTTTTGCTCTTGTTCATAAAATGACGTTTTTGACCAGTCTGTTGGAAAGCAGTTCTTTCAGTCTGGCGCTGTATCGATCTGTGTCTGTTTTACAACATCAGAGTAGAGTGGAAATCTTCCAAATTCAGCTCTACAGACATTGTTCATAGATTTTTCCATACACCTTGTGCCCATTTGCACATTTTTAGGTGTAGTTGTTCAAAAGGCAATTTATTTAATTTTGAAAGTGCTTGATGATTTTGTCAAAGAGTTTTAAATTGAGTGGGGGAGATGATATCTTGTTTGAGGACAGAGGGCTGCTTTAAGAGCAAAATTGTATTTAGAGCCTTTTTCTTTAAATTTTCAATTGCTTTTTTCATTGAACCTGTATTTGTAAAGATTAAACCCAGATAATTGTACTCTTTTACTGATTCAATGACTGCATTATTAAATATCACACCTTGAAAATGGGTAGTGTGGTCTGATCTACCAGTGAATTCAGGATCATTCGGTGCCAAGTCTGGTAGTTGGGCAGGCCTGTAGATTATCTCCTTAGCAAATTCCCAGTCTTGATAAAAATGGGATTGTGTAGCCTTCACCTACCGAGATGCCTAATCTGGTTTTACTATACATGCTTTTTGTGACACAATAGAATTTGCTTGAATCCCGAGTTTTAGCGGTTTCAGTAAAAGTCCCTTGTGCCACACTGAATCAAAGGCTTTAATTCTCATGTCAATGAAACATGCATATAGTCTTTTGTTTTGATTGAGATACCTGTTGACTAGTGATTTCAGAGTGAAGATATGATCTGTTGTTCTATAACCTGGCCTGAAGCCTGCTTGCTCTTCGCTTAATTTGTTTTCATTGTTAATATGTTGAATGAGCCTGTGTGCTAAAACTGAATTAAATAATTTCCTAAGCAACTAGTTATGCAAAGGCCTCTATAGTTTTCAGAGTTCTTATGCTCTCCTGATTTAAAGAGTAGAATTATAATTCCTAGGTTCCATGATGCAGGGATTTCAGATGTATTGAGCACCATGCTAAATAATTTAGTGACATAATCATAATCATCTATGTTGACATAATCATAATCATCTGTCAGACATAATCATCTATGTTGTTTAACTCAGATCATGGGACAAACCTTATGATGGAAGTGTGTGCTTGCATCAAGATGACCAATGCAATGATTTGCCTTCACAACATGATATTGGTCAATGTAGAGCTATTCATCTGAAAAACAATTTCTATAAACTATCAAGCTAATTGCCATCATGCTATACATGTAATAATAGTAGCAATCACTATAATGGATTCAATGATTCAACTGGCAATTGGTAACATTGGGTTTGCTAAAAGACAGGTTATGTTGATGGGTCACGTGTGAGTGTGTTTTGTCAAACAGAAATTTCAGTTTTTTAATATATATAAATTTTTAAGGAACTATGTGAGGTTTTGGGCTAAATAAAATAAATAATGACAGTAAATAGATTAAAAAGTCTGGAAATTATTTGTTCAGTCCAGATGATGTTAATTAAGATAAATTATTGAGCACCTTATTTGTTTAAGTAGATCCAATTGACGTCTTGTTTCCACTGTTTTTTAGCTTTCCATATGACTTTGGAATTTGTTCTGTAAGTTGATAGCCAAGGTTTACTTGTTATTTATCTAGATGACAGATGCTTGTGATAATTTATGTCTATGTGTGTTTGTTATTGTGTGTGTATTGATTGTATTACATTATAAAAAAGATGAGGTACATAAACTGCACACATGTATGTGAAATAAATAATTGCAAGGTGTTTGTGGTGCTCAGCAATTTTAACTGTTTTTTTCTTTTGTTCAAAAATGATAAAATTTGATAGACTTAGCATAAATAAATTGATTATGCAAAAAAAAAAAAAAAAAATGAATTACACTTTTAATGCAGAATGTTTGATAAGCTTAAAAAATGTCAGTATGTATATATAAGAAGTCACATGACAGGTACTACTTTTAAGGAATTTAAATATCATCCGGACATAATATATACGTAGTTATATTAATTATGAATACAACTACATATATATATACTAGTATTTTATATTTTGAAGAATTTTTTGAATGAGTGACAATGTATCACTTTTAATTCTCTACACTGAACAAGATTACGACTCATCACTTAAAAGACAATTGCACATTCTCAAGTGAATTACTTATATTACTCATTTAACATTGGGTAATAAAGCAATTGATATTCTGGCTGAGGTTTTAGCATGACTGCCATCCCAAGCTGTGATTGGCATCTGACCCAGAAGCACAGGTCACAGCTTATCACATATGCAAAGTCTTGCCAGGCAGTTGTTCCAGAAGCAAAACTGTACTCTGCACCAGGATACAACTCCAGCTGAAAAGCAGCTGGCAAGAATGTTGGATACTAGACTTACACTCAAAGACACACTGAAGGGACTGAGTAGGAGGTGCTGAAAGTTTTTAAGAACTTCATAAACCCAGGAAAATATCCAACCAATTTCTTGCATCTATGGATTGTGTTGTGTTAATATGATACCAATACTGAAAACATCTTTGAGAACATTTAGAACAGGATGACTTCAACTATAGGAGAATGAGCCAGCGCAAAAACAACTGGCAAAACAGCCCTAAGTGAACCTGTTGTGTTTGTACAAACCATTGAGTTTTTAAACCAGTTGAGGATAGGCACACATGATTGGAAGACATAAAGGCAGTGGATGCATTTCAAGTTGGCCTGAATTCCATCCAATAGATATTTAAACTTCCAGTGAAGAACACGCACAGTAATGCTGTTTTTGTTATAAAATCTTTGCATATGTGTTGTTTAGAAGGATATAGTTTTTGTCTTCAAAAGAGCAGACTGATGCAGTCAGCTCATCATATCTTTCACACATAAGACTACCAGAGACACTGACAGTTGCGGGAGGCTGAATATTTCATCAAATCAACTGGGAACTTTGATTGTTACAGAAACTATCATGTATATTTTAAAAAAAGAGCTGTGACTGGTAGATTCATTCTTTTCAATCATTGAAAATTTACAGTTTTAAGAAAAGTTAATTTGAGTCAGTGACATCAGCAAAACAGAAGAATTTGATACATGTGGGAGAGAATTTAACCAACACTAAACTAGAGGAATAGGAATGCATATATGATCTGTTTTGACCAACACAAACATTACAGCTACAGGTGGCTGTAGAAAATGCACTAAGGGAAATCCTACATGAGTCAAGTTTGTATAAAAAACAAATTTATACAATATGAGAACATAATTTGTAATTTGGTGTGTGTTTGTTATGTACCTTTGTATTTGTGTCTATGTTGGGGGGAGGGGGCTAGGGTATTTACGTTTTCTAATTAGGTTTGTTATCTGCATACAATACTTATGTACTTGTTTTCTAAATGTGATGGTGATGCTTGATATTACACTGTTCATGGCTGCTGTATATACTTGGCAATATGTAATCTTAAAAAAAAAGTTTATTAGAGTTGACCATTGTCAGATTACTTTCCAGACAATGTAAGAAGATTAACATGATTTGCAAACCTCGTCAGATAGCCAGGGAGTTAATTGCATTTTGTGTCTTCATAGAGAATGAATGTATATCTGGATTTATATAAATAATCTATATAATATGTCTTAGTGTGGATTAAAGCAACACTTATCCTGTAAGCTAGACACAGTAATCTGCCTTTCTTGGAGATAACAACAAGCAGACACCACAGACTGAAAGTGAATTTCATGCTGAGATACATTCTAGAGAGCATATGAGGACCTGGGAAAAAACATCTTGCAACTCAGCCATGTTGCTTAGTTATGGGGAAAACAACTAGTATATCTAATTAATTTTGTCATGAAAACATGACTATTGTATAAAAAAAATTGAATGTGTCAGACTGTGTTATAAAGTGATCTGATACATATATACATGTATTTTATTTTCAGAATACAAATGATTTTCTAAGCTGTCCAGGGACAAGACATCACAAACTGATTTTTGTCAAGGGTGATCCTGCATAATGGACCTCTACTTTGTTTGTAAGTAAAGACTTTGGGTTTTGAGTGTGTGTAGTTCTCTTTATTTTCATTGTTTACAAGTTTTCCATTTTTACTTGCATTACAAGACATCACAAACTGATTTTTGTTAAGGGTGATCCTGCATTATGGACCTCTACTTTGTTTGTAAGTAAAGACTTTGGGTTTTGAGTGTGTGTAGTTCTCTTTATCTTCATTGTTTACAAATTTTCCATTTTTACTTGCATTATAAGTTGTTTTGCCAGATGGTTTAAATAATAATTGTTTTCCCTCTGGAAATTCTTATTTTTATGCAAGACTTAGTTTCTGGTTTTTCTTCTTTGCTGGAAAACCATGTCTTTTTCAATTGCACATTTCTAAATGATTACACTTTATTGTGTAGTATTCAAGAGAAAGATTAATTGTAATATTCTTCTTAGACTTTGGGTTTTGAGTGTTGTAGTTTATCACTACAGAAGATACAGAAGAACTACACGCACTCAAAACCCAAAATCTATAGTCTAAGAAGTCTATTATATATACACACACACACACACACGCACACACACACACACAGATTTGGGAACATTAAGTAGTCACAGTAGTTCTCTTTATCAGAATTATTTATCAATGAACAAAGATAATGAATGTAACACCGGTAGGAATGTTGTTAGAAAATGTGAAAATTATCGCACAATAATTATACAAGGCTATTTTACCAAGGTTAGTGCATTTAAAGATTGTTGTCTAAAGAATCAATTTAAATGGAATACGCAGTATTAGCCAGTGCTGTTTAAACTTACGTTTTTTAATCAAAACCAAAGGAACTTAAAACTATTTATTTATGTAGTTGTGAAACTCAGAAGTGAATTAAGCTGTCAACTTGAGGGTGCAGTCGTAGTATAGTCTTTTGATGATTTGCTACAATTGCTTGCTGGAGCCATAAACTACTTGATACCAGTAACAGATATGTGTTTTCACATCACTTATCTTAACAACCTTGGTTAGAAGTTAGTGTGATACAAATAGATCATTGCTAAATGATTCATTGGTGATGTAGCATCACAAATATATGACTGGAAATGTTTATGTTATATATTGTATGATGAATGGGTGTTTTGTTATTTACTTAATACCAAGCAGCATCAACATTATTGACAAGATATATATATTGCTTGAATAGAATTTCTAGCACTTTTCCAGGGTCCTGACTTTGGGCACAAGCTAATTAATGTCCACACAATTAGAATATAATTAATCAATTAGGTAACAAAGATAATTCTGTAATCTGGACAGATTTTGTTCATTAGTTAGTATTTTAAATGATTAGTGAAATAAGACTATAGCTCTCTTTCCAAGCAACTAAGTTATTGTGTTGATTAATTCAGCTAAATTACCAAGACTTAGCCATGCATACAGGTTTTGCATGTAGAGTACCCAGTTACATAAGGGTTAATGTTGGGAGTCTTTCAAGATATGTAAAAGCAGATTCATTTGCATATGAAGTGAAAAATAAAGTAACATATGGAAAAAAGTTGTGCTGACTGAAAAATAAACACTCATAAGTTACATTTTAAATAACATTGCATAAAAAGAGAACAGCAGGTGACAAAAAATGCAATTTACCTATGAAACATTTTCAGTAGAAAACGGAACTTTAGAATTGGTACTTTAGCTTCTGAACATTTATCTTACAGGCAATTATACCGGTGTATTGATTCAGCTGTATTATAAGTGCTCTTCCTCAGGCTTGTTTAATGACACTGTTTGTTGGAATAAATAGGCTGTTTTTAGCTCAAGTTCCCTTTCATTTCATTTATATTTGATAAAGAACATATCTCAGACTCCAAAGGGAAATGTTAATAATTGACATATTCTGGTATTTTGGTGTGTTGGGAAGTAAATTGAAAATGCTGACACTATGATAACTGTACAGGTGGATCTAGTTTAGCCTGAAAAAGGTGAACTGCATTGACATTAAATACCTGCCTTTATCAGAATGAGTGAGATAAAAGAAATGGAATATTGTTTGCATATGTGCTGAGGTGATGAAAGATTTAGTGAGAAATAATATCATCAACAGATTTATAATTTACTTAAGGCCACCAAACCAACACCTAACATACTTTTAAGTTAGAAAAGTGCCAACTTGATGGATAGAACATACTAATTAAATAATTTGGAACACAATTCTTTACTTTTAATGTGCATTTATCTTCATTATTTACAACTTTTTCCATTTTTACTTGCATTATAAGTTGTTTTGCCAGATGGTTTAAATAATGCTTGTTTTCTCTCTAGAAATTCTCATTTTTATGCAAGACTCAGTTTTTGGTTTTTCTTCTTCACTGGAAATACCATATATCTTTTTTCAATTGCACATTTTCCAAATGATTACACCTTGTAATGTAGTATTCAAGAGAAAGAGTATTTGTAAAGTTCTTCTGCTTCATTTTAGGTGTTATTTTATGCTTGATAGCTCCAAGTTCTTCAGAGATTATGGAAAACATTTCCAGCATTAGCCTGGCCTTTTTGTCTGGTGGGAAGCAAGAACATGGGGTACCTATGAGCATGACCGGCAATGAAAACAGGACCTCATCTGTGAATATGACCACAAATGAAAATGTTATTGTATCAGCAAGTGCATCCGGGTACACACCCACCAAAATTGAAAAATTTGCTGTAAGTCAGAGCAAGGAAATGAATACTTTCACCATAGCGCCAGCCAGTGACAGCACAGGATCTGGTCCCAGTTTATTTATGCATACAAATCTTGTAGACAGTGGTTTGGATCAACAATCTGTAACAGTGTCCAGAGTGTTTTCAGGATCAGATTACATTGGTTCATATAATCCAGCTGAGTACAAAACAACTGGAGTCACTGCTAGTTGTAGGGCTGAAACAGTGCAAGTACATGGAGATTTGTTCACAGGGATTGTGAAGCCAAATTCAGCAACCTCCATTTCCTCAATAGCCAGAGCTGAAAAAGTACCAACTGCTGTATCGACCATTCCCCATATTTACAATCATGTTACCATGTCTCCTGAAAAGTTCTCTTTAACTGAGAGTATGGGAACATACACATATCCAGTTGTCAGTTCTACCATTCCGTTTTCTACACTTTCCTCAGATGTAATTGCATCTAGTTTTACTGAGGCAATGGTTGGTGCATCATTAACAATAAGGCAAAATAGAACCATGACAACCAACATTCCGGTTTCTATTCCAATGGATAATGCAACTACTCCAATGGCTAATTATCTGTCTGGTGAGCCACAGAAACAACAGAACTCAGCATCCCAAACCCACAGCGCCCACCACCTTCAGGCATCCTTCTCCTCCTTTGCATCAGTGTCTTCTCAGTTGGCTACAGTCACCATGGTATCAACAGCAGCTGGGGATGATTTGTCAACATCAGCATCAACATTGGTATCAGACCTTGATTCAGCTTCATCATCCTCTGTTGCCAATGTTAGTCCTCAGGAGGCTATTACCACAGATAATACAATTAATAAGGAAACAGAGAAAACACTGCCCACCAAAGTGGTTAAAAGTGACCAGGTCACTACACCCACTCCAACACCATTTGAGACCACTCCAGTTGATGGCAAAGTAGATTCTGGCAAAGAACCTGAAAAAGGAAGAAATGTTACACCTGAACCTGATGCAAAAACTAGAACTGAAAGTACTCTGATTACCATAGCAACTGTTGCTAGGCAGCCAACAACTTTAACAACAACAACTGCAACAACAACCACAACACATAGGTTGATAACTACACTGGGGGTAAATTTACCACTACGGACAACACCTTTCGTGCCTTCAACAGGGAAACCTAAATATGTAACAAAATCAGCACTGAGGAAGGTAACAATAAAGCCCAAACCTTCCACTCTAATCACTTCAACATCAAAACTACTGCAAGTGACTACTCCAATTGCCAAAGATGCCCTCCCACCTATTTATATATCACTAGTGCTGAAAATGACTTGGACGGAATTTTGCTTCCAGAGAGAAGAATTTCAGTCTTTGATGTCAAAAGCCATTGAACTTACAATTGATAGGTCTATAAAAGGAATGCAAGTGGTCATCCTGAATATGTACATATGTAAACAAATGAATATAATTTTTAAGAGGTCTGCAGCGATAGATGTCGAGTTTTACTTAACGAATGAGAGAGGTGAATTCAGCTTTTACCTGACGGAAAAATGTTATGGTCTTCTTGAGAGTGGGTTCCAAGTAACAGGTGGATCAACATCATTCAAAGACAGGGTATGTTACCATTATTGTTTGAGTTTGATTGAATTAACAGGTTAATTCTGTTATATTATTTATAATTAGGGATCATGGTTTGCTGTACCATTTTTAAAACTTGATTGTCAATCATGATATATGTATTTCTGCAAACCAGTTCTTTAAAATGGAGTCCTTGATCTTTCATGATATTGGACCTTTGAAGAGTAATAGATTTTTTACATGGTATTTATCTTTGGCATTTGTAATACTACTATTTATCTAATGTATATTATGTGGATCACTGGAAGTTGCACGAGGTTTACATGTACATTATAACAGTTTCAGTTTTATCATTGCACCACTGAGCACTAGTAATTGTTATTCATATTTCCACCCAATGCAAATAGTAGTCTACATCTTGAAATTGTTTTTAGACTATATATTATTCTAATATTACTTAGACCCTAATCTTATTAAAAAGTAGAATGAATAGAATAAATTTTTTCTTGAGAAAAATTGGATAATTGGTACAAAAGTTCTGTATACAATACCTTTAAATCTTATTGAGTGGACAGAAAATAGTTTTATTTTCAAATTCCTAATTCTCAAAGTGAATTCACTACTTAATTGTTTATCATATAATTTAAAACAGAATAATGTCTGAAATGAAAATTAATACCAATAGCACTAAAAATAAATGATGTATGTGTAAATGCATTAAGTTGGTAATTTTGAAATGCTATAAGTAAGAAACAAGCAAACACAATTCATGTTTTTCCATTAATTATGTTATAAAGATATGCATAGTCATGCCACAACCTGTTATTTTTTCTCCCCAGTTTCTTTCTTATACGCTCAAAGGTGAAAAGTCCAGTTCTGTGGCATCATCTTTCCAACAGACCCCCAACATGGCGACTGGTGTTATTGTTGCTATAGTGATAGCATCTGTGGCTGGAGTGTGTTTTGTTTTGCTTATCATCCTCCAGGTAATAGTACAACAGGAAAATGTTTGTTAAAACCTGTCTTTTCAGGTTGGGTTTAATTTATTTCTGCATGTAGGTTTCTTCTGTGGGTTTGAAAGTAATATGTATAACACATTGGGGTTGTAATAATAATAATAATAATAATAATAATAATAATAATAATAATGAAAGCTTGATTTAGAAAGCAATTAACTTGCATATCACTGCTGTACACATAATTCAGTTGAACCTGAGATTACAAAAGGGCCTCATTGGTTTCCCAGCTGGACACTACTTTTCATTTAATGCTTTTATATTCAGTGTTGAGCTGTCATGCTGTAATATATAGGAACAGTTTCAAGTGGGAGTGCTGAAAGCTAATTTTTGGGACTACAAGCCAGCAATTTAGCTGCTCTTAGAAATTAAAAAAAAATTATCACTTCTTTGTGTTTTTAATATGTATGTGTAGGTTTTTACAATGCTTTATTGGTCTGAGTATACTGTACTTAGAACTATTTTATTTAAGATATTTAATAATTAAAATTACAATGTGATTGTGAAACGGGATTATCAGTGCATTGATAAAAATTTCTTTACATTTTATTATCTTTGTAAGTGTAAGACCCCATTTCCAGAGATTAGATCGATCCAACTAGATCGACCTAACTCCCTAGGGGTTCACGCTAAATAGCTGTCAGCCGAGCGGGCACGAAAGTTAATCACCCCCTTACAGCTTGTAGTAGGTGGGACGGACATTTAAGCCGGATTATCTGACAGTAATCTAGTGAGACTCCCCACGGGGATAGATCGATCTAAAATCTATGGGAATGCGCCCTAAGATTTTATTCATGCTGTTAAAAAATTATGGATTAGTTTTTTTAAATAACTTTGAATGGTTTTTTGAATTTTTGTTTTTGATATTGTTATGCTAGCAAAGGATTGAGAAGGTAACTTTACGTGTATTGATTGAAAGATACTATTTAATTATTTTTCCAAAATAATTGCTTTAAAGTTTCAAAATAATGATTATATAAATTTCAAAACAAGCAAAGATTCAAAATTTTTATCAAAGTAAAGAATTTTTCTCACCATGAATTTATAAATTTCAGGTAGTTTTAAGGCGCCGAAGAGGTAAAACTATGCGCTCTTACTACAGCAAAGCTCAGCGATATTCTTATGATTCCCACAGCTTTGATTCCATTTCTATGACGCAAATGTCGAAATTCCGTCGTTCAAAGAGGTTGTCATCTCGAGGCAATGGACGGTCAGCAGAATACTCTGGTTCTTCAGCTCGCCAGTCTGGGCGATCTGGAAATTCAGCTATGGGATATATTAACCAGGCATTGTTAACAGAAAAGGTATTGTGTTCATGCAGCTACCAAACAGGATATGAATACTGAGTACAAATAAATAGTAAATAGTCTGTTGTATCCTATCTCTATTATACTATGCTGTACTTCCTATTTCATATTAAGATTTTTTAAAGAAAAATGGTTATTTATCAACTGTTTGCACTATTTGTAATAATGATTATTGATAGCTGGTGTTTTTAAATATGTTAGTTTATATTTTCTAGGAGTGCCCTTCACATCCAGTCAACTTTGCAAATCTTGCCTCTCTTGTCAATGAGCCAGACTGTCTGGAAGCAGAATTTGAGGTAGACAAATTGCAAGCATCAAGTTGCTTTTAATATTTGCTGATCCATTACACCTATGTGTACTTCGTACAGTAAACACACATCAAGCTGGAACAAAACTTATTCAAAATATATTTTCCAAAACTGTTTTGTTAGGTATACTAGTACATGTTAAAACAGATTGGAACATTTTCAAGTTTTTTTTAATCAAATGAATATTATGTTTCTATAAGATAATTAAGATATTGGAATATGGCCTGTGAAATGTGTGGGTAGGTACCGTATGTGGCATGCCATTCATTATTGATAGTCATGAGGCATTTAGCTCTCAGTTTTAGTACTTGTAATACAATAGTGGTAGTGGTAATATGATTATTGGAGAAAAAGCATGCGTTATCCTTGTTATCAAGATTTTCTATTATTGAATACTTTACGGTCCAGATTTATTTTTCACAATCTTGATGTCAGTGAAATCCAACAAAGTGTGATAAAGCAATCTGGGTTGTCCATTACTGTCAACATTAATTTGAATTTTAAAAGAAACCAAATCAATATCACCAGTTTGATTGAGATATCACAAATGTAAGATGAATTCAGTAATTTTAAATCCATTTCATTGAAAATAAATTCTCAAATTTCAAATTATGAAAAAAAGTATGGTTGGAGGCCATGTTGGAGGTATTGTTCTTTAATCTCTTAGGAATAATGAAAAGTTGAATTTGTGATGTCACATTCTTTTACAACCCTTTTAAATAATTTTCTCAATTTGGCAATGTATTGTTTCAGTTACTACCCAACATCATGGCTAAGTTGTCAGAGGTGCCGGTGGGGGCAGAGGATAAGAACCGCTATGCCAATGTCATTCCCAGTAAGTAGAACAATATAATATTAGATACTACTTCATTTTGGACTAGTATTTTCAGAAATAAGGGTTATTCCCAGCTAGAAAAGAAGGAAAGGATTGTCTGGTTGTGACTGCAAATCTAACATTATAAGTATATAGGAGTCTTTTATAGTCTTTCCTGCATAGAGAATATTAAAGTTTATGTAGTTACATGAATAATGTAATTGTTATAAAAATGATTCGGCACTCTTTATATCCAATACTGTGTATAGTAGGTCTACAGGTAAGACCAGTTTTACTTAAGACCTTTGCTTTCAATTTAAAGACAGAACATTTAAATTACCTAATTTAACCAATCAGTTGTGCTCCACCAGATTGGTCTATTTTAGAAAATGTAAGAAATAGCATGTTTTAGACAGTAACAATATTTTGGTCTTAAAGTTAAAATCAGTTTCTGACTTAAGTTTTCTTTTTGCACTCTCAATTACGTAATCACCAATCATATTGGATAAACCTAAAGGTACTGCTACTTATTATATATAGTATCCAGTAATAAAATTGATGTTTTTTCATTTTTAATCAGATCGTGATACTCGAGTTCCACTAGCTCCTATTCCCGGTGTACCAACATCAGATTACATAAATGCTAACTATATGAGGGTATGTAACTGTGCATGCTAACAATATCAAAAAAGAAAAATTTCGTGCATGGATTGCTTTTTAGAGGATTGACGAAATGTTTTGTTGAAAATATATATATTTCCCTCTCAGACACAAACAACAAAGGTTGAGAATAGAAATGTAAAATCCTTTGTGCTTTGTTCAGGGTTACATGGGAGAAAGAAACTGCTACATTGCCACCCAAGCTCCACTGGAACAAACTGTTGCTGACTTTTGGCGCATGGTCTGGGAACAACAGTCCAAACTCATTATCATGCTCACTGACTTTGAGGAACAAGAAGTGGTACAATAATACATATATGATTTTATAAGTATATAGTAAAAACATGAAATAAAAGAGACAATTATATCAATTATATTTTAGAATAAAACTTACACTAAAGATTACCTTTATTCACAGTTAAATAAAAAAAAAAACAAAGTATAGCTTGAAAATACTTATTTTGAAAAGTACCACATTTTGTTTTTAGCCTAAGTGTTTTCCATATTGGCCCAACACAGATGGTGTGGATACCATGCGTTTATATGGAGATTATGAAGTGATGCTTAAGAAGAAAGAGATCTTTCAAGAATATACCATATCAGTCCTCTCGCTAAAGGATGTAGAGGTTTGTTGTGTCACTCTTCAGCATTTTTATTTAGTAATATTATTACTAGCAGTTATCAATTCATGAAATGCCTTAAAATGCTGAACTTTATAATATAAGATTATGTATTACTGGAATAGAGGTGCATTGGGTATAACAACATAATTCTTACCCCAGGGGTATCATATTCTCCACGTGCAGCACCTACTAGTATGAATAAAATTCATTCAAAGTCTGTGTGCACTGTACAAAAGGATACATGTATCTTAAATTCATCATTTGAGATGCAAATTTGATTTTTTTAAAAAATGTAAATATTCCTTTCTTCTGTTATGGTTATCCATCCACTGAGGGTTTATGAAAGAGAAAATGCCCATTAAAGCTTTTGGTCAAAACTTGTGTGACTCTGCCAGTTCTGCTTGTTTAGCTCTTTAATCAGTATCAGTAGCAATTTCGGATCTGTACTGGTATTTATGATATACAAGGTGTAAACAACTCTACTCTCTGTCATTCAAAAAGAAAATATGAAAGTACAAACCATGCATGTATTTTAACATACATAATAAAACAACATTATTTTTTATTAGATGGCACAGCTCTCTTCATGTTTATTGTTATAGATAATAGATAAATATGTGAACATACTGAGCAAATGTTGAGTAAAAAATCCAAATCACACTTTTTGGTGAAAGCAAGGAACTAGTATCTTTGTTTTTACCAGTTTCCCCCCTCTTTAATGTAAGACAAAAATTTAGTTTCAGAAGAAATACAGCATTCAATATGAAAAAATATATACTCTTAAGTTCCTGTTCCTATGAAAATACTGTTAACAAAAACTTGTCAGCTTTCTTATCCATGTTACATGTTATATGTCATTGTTGCTCCATTCACAGAGGAACCTGTGCCGTGAAGTGATCCACATGTGGTACACAGCCTGGCCAATCCATGGTACCCCAGAGTCTACGCTGTCTGTGCAGACATTTATTCTTGAGGCCAGGAAACACATGGAAGAAAGCAGAGGGCCTGCCATAGTTCACTGCAGGTAAGAATTTATCTCTTTCCTCAGTTAGTTCTTTGCATAATTGGTGACATGAGAACATTTGGTCTATGGTCAATAAATGATAAGTGCATGCTGTATAATATACATTTTATGGCAGAAGATGGGAGTTTTTCTCCATTTTGCATAATTTTTTACATATAAGCAATGAAGAAAGGAGAATTTCAGTGGTGGTTATGGTAGGGGTGGAATTATATTATTTACTAGTAAATCCAGAAGAGAAGTATTGGTTTAAGTTTAAAGCATTTCTTTCCATTTTCAATAAGGTAAAGAAGATGTAAATCATACTAGAGTTTAACTTTCTCTTTATTAACTGATTTCTTGTTTCCATTTTTTTGCAGGAAATTTGTCAAACCGTCTAGAATAGACACTGGACATGTTGTTAACTTAATACAGAACAAGGCTAACATTCATATATTCCTAACTTCACACTCTATGCAATACATGTAATATTTATATTCAATCTTTCATATTACTAAGTACCTCCAATTTTTGTTATGATATCAACAAAATATTATTGATAATAATTCCTTTTGATGTTTCAGTCCTGGCACTGGTCGCACAGGCACATTTCTTGCCATAGACATATGCATGCAAGCATATGAAGACTGTCATTCAGTAGATATTCTGAACTGTGTGTACAGACTGAGGTGTGACAGGGGAGGCTCCGTCCAGACCAAAGAACAATATGTTTTCATTTATAAGGTAAAATTTAAAAAGGAAAAATAAACAGTTTTGAAGAATAATGTTAGCTTACTGTTGCTAAATTGATGTATATCTATCAGGCATTAGACAGCTTGTGTTTTTTTCTGTCAAATATTTACTTTTTGCTAGTAGGTTTAATACCTCCTAAGGCTCAATAACATTTGCGTTGGTTAAAGAAATTGCAAACTCATTTTTTTGCCAATTTAACATTAGTTAATTAATGAACACTTTAGTTTGTAGGATCTACTTGAAATGATGTGGGTTTTTCACACTGCGTCGCATCATTGGAAATGTTTAAAAACAAAAAAGTGTACAATTTTTATTTTCAGGCACTCCATGATTATGCAGTTTTTCTTAGTAATCCATCCTCTAGTTCATCCTCTTCCTCATCCCTGCATGTGTTGACCTGACACCAAGAGGAAAAGGCAGACAAGAAAAAAAACATTGAGGAGCTCCAAGCTTATTTTGCAGATATAAATCTTTTTATATGACATGTATCAGCCCCAAGAATATTTTGTCTGCTTATCTCATGCATAAACATAATCAAACTAGATTGCAGTAGAGGAATCAAAAATAGATTGCAGTAGAGGAACTTTGTAGGTGCAAGGACCCATCAAACAAATATCATGGGTTCTATGTAGAGGCATTTATCCTGTTTTTGTTTTTTTTTTCTTTTTGCCTCTATATGGCATAAAAAACTGTTCATATAGGAGCAAACAAAGGACTAAAACGAATAACTAAAACATGTGACTAAAGCCTTGTCATGTTGGGGTCTTACTGGTTATTTCCATCACATAAATAGCTTGATGGCTAAAACACCATCTGTATTATGTTTCAGTAATTTTGTAGGAGTTAACAGTATGCATCCATCCATCAGATCTTGCTTGGTAATTACATGCACTAATATACTATATGTATAACAAAAAAGAGGAGAGCCAATCTGAACCTCCTCCTGCATCTTAATGCACCTGTCCACATGTGGTTTGGACATTTTATTTTCATTAGAGCAATGGGAATAGAAGTTCTAATTGGCAGCCATGTGTATACTAAGTACATGTATCTTGTTTCATCTAAAACTGGTTCTCTGTGACAATTTTTGAAAAGTCCCTTTTAGAGGCTCCCGGGTAGTCTGCTTAGAAGTAAATGTTATGTGTTACTTTGTCTGAATACCAAGAATATAGTTATATAGAATCATTCATAAACCTACTCTAAGTATTGTACTTTTTGTGAAGGATTTGTGGTCAGTATACACAGAAATGCACACACGAACACACTATCAAATAGAGGGAATCCACCAATTAATATTACTGTCATATCACATAAGGGTGTGATTTTGCAAATAGTCTTCTAGAAAATGCATGTAGTCTTAAATATTTGTTTATAGTATATGTAGTTAAGTTGATAGTTAACAGCATTACCATATTTAGCTGTCTCAATTTTTTTAAAGATTTACATACAAACACAGCTGGGAATATTGAAATGAAGGGAACCATACTGCAGTGTACTAAGCAAATGGAAAACTGAATTATAATCCAATATATCTAATACCCAATATAGCCTAAATGAATTTAAACCAAAGTGTTTTAGTGTTTTGAAGTGTCATTTTTGGACTTTGCAGTCAAAGCACAGCTTGAATTATGCTTTCATACTGGTGCTAATCTTGTTCCAGTTGTATGTAACTTGCTTTCTGCTAGTATACTACTTAGATGACCACAAATGATGATATAACAGTAGTTAAGAACAAACTGGTGAAAAACAGCAGTCTTCTGTTTAAAGGTTTAGAAACATTAACTCTCTTAAAATTCAAACACCCATTCGAGTTGCCAGTATTTCATTTCCGAAATTTTAAAGTGTCATGCAATCTAGAAGTTTCTAATGCCTGTAAATTTGCATTTTGTAGCAGGAGTTTGTAAGATATTTTGTAGTGTTTATTTTTCTACTATATGATAATTACTATAAAGCAATTGTTTCCCTTGAACTGTCTCAGTTCACCATTTCATGTATAATTTCTGGTTATAAATATAAATGGTAATCCTTTTTATTTAAGGACTCACTTTACCAGACTCATTTTTAACATTGTGTCCACACCAAATTGTTGGTACAATTATTGCAGATATAACTGAATAATTCAGTTGACAACACCCCCCCCCCTGCCCCTGAAAAAATTGGAAATGAGAATATACCTGAGGGAAGGACAAAGATGCCACAAATAAAAGTTTAATCCATAATTTGATCAAACATTTTAAATGAACAAATACTGTTAAGAAAAATAAAATTGCAACTCATAATATTCATTTGCAAAGTAAGCTTTTGTTTATTGCTCACATTATTGGGAATATCGGTCCTGCAACACAACCATGTTGTACAGAAAAATACAACAAAATTGAGGGCCAGAGTCAAATAGATTGCACAGTTTCTCTTCCATATAAATGCATTTTACACTATGCTGGTGCTCTCCATAGGATCATCTGTCACTGGTTCTCCACATAAAGTATAACATTAAGAATAGTCTTAGCAAGAATTGTTGCCTTTTCTCTTTTGAAAACTAATTTGTTCTTCTTTTTCACTACTGCTGCCATTGGGCATGGGCATTATCTGGTAGGAAATTTGCCTTTTAGTGAAATCCACTTTGGTAACTCATACCAAAAGGGATATTTTCTGCTTTTTGGTTCAAATGTTTATCTAGTACAAAATATAATAAGGATTTAAAAACTATTTTCCAACTAGAATGCTAAGAATTGCAATATTCAGAATAACTGTAAATTTGTTTACAGAATATAGCCATGTAAAATATAGCTAATTAAAAATGAAATAAATACACAAATAATTCTGCAAATTTTGATTTCACTCTACAATTTATGGCTTAGGCTGCACAAAATTTAAATATTCAAAATGCTTAAAGTAATGAGTGCCTTCTGAAATATGTAAATTGTGAAGTCAATATAGAATTGGTGCAAATGGCTAGTTCTATGATACTGTCAGGCAATTCACATAGATTTCTCAATTCGCTCAATCATATGGAGACTTTTAGATCTAGTGATGTAAATAAAAACACACGATTTTTGTGTACAACCATTTTTCATGTCTAAAATACCTTCCCCTGTTGCACTTGAATATCCCCCTCCCCAAAGAAGTTTTTTACTTAATATGTTAAGGTATTTACAATAACTTTGTCAAGATTATCAAGTAAATTCTTAAATTTCTTAACTTAATATCCAGTACCGTTGTTTGTGGAAATCACTGTCCTTCTGGAGAGCACCTGGCAAGAACAAAATGGAAATGCACCATTTCTTAAATCAAGAATGAGCAGTTTTTCAAAGTTTTTTTTGGTACCCATGAAAAGATACAAAGGTTGCAATTTGATGCAGTGCTAGAGTAATGGCAGTAAATGCCCTTGACATTCAGCAATGTGTTTCTGAAGATACTTGCTCGAAATGTCTATAAGAACAGCCTGTCAAAATCACAGAATAAATCTACAACTGCAAAAATACAACATATTTTAGGACTAATGCCTTAACATCTCTCTATTTTGCCCCCACATTATATCTATCATAATAAAGACAAATGTGATAATTTAGTCCTAAAATTAGCTTGACATATAAAGCCATTTAGATTTTGTGTATGGTACATTTTCCAAGTGGGGTTCAAACCTGCTACACAAAAAGCATTCCTAGAATATGTTACAGATTTGTTGTATTTACATACATGAATTGATAACTTTCTGCATATGTTAGGACAGTTCTTACATCTAAAATTATTTTCAACAAAGTGAAAATTACACCACACTCAAAGGGAAATTCCTCCTGAAATGGGTGCTTAGTCACTTGCGATTCTACTTTCCAGGTCTTCACACTTCTAAGAACCTCTTATTCTTAGAAGAACTGATGAACATGAGTATACATATATATGTAATTTTTTTGTTTTTAAAGTGAAAAAAAAAAATTAAAAGTAAGCAAGCAAAACCAAAGATGGGGCAAATGACCAATCATTTGATGTCAGTTTTGAACAGAGACCTCTCCAAACAATGTTTCTCCACATAATACTGAAATACCTGCTACAATGTGTACAAACTGGGTAAAATCAACTCACTGATTTTGTCAAAACTGCTTATGAAAGATATGAAATATACGTCATACTCGTTCTTTAACATTTTGTTCCATGCCCAGAAGAATGTAGAATTTCACAATCCAAGCCTAAGTGTCTTTGTACACAGTGCAGCAGTTCAAACAATGATGGATAAGATTTCTGTGCAACAATAAAGAGGGTTATCATTCCAAACAAGTCAATTTTCAATTCAAACTATCTGTTTACATCATTTGGACAATATTCCCAAAAGAAGGGCAAAGCCTGCTCATAGGAAAAAATAATATCAGTATTGTGATAATGATCACAAAATAATTCACATTTGGCATGTGTTTTAATTTTTTTTTACTCATAATTTTACTTCTTTGATTGTGGCAGTTACAACAAAAAGAGCACTTCTCACACAGTGAGAGAGACAAAAAAAAGCAAGACAACTTGGTCCACAGCCATTCCAACAAAAAGCTGCAACAATAAAAGAAATAAATACTTTTATGGTGTTAAACTGCATACACATATTAAACAGAAAAAAGAACCAATCATTAAATGAACATAATAACACAAACTTCAACCGTAGATTGAATTTAACTTTTAAATAGAACTCCATAATCTGTCATTTGTTCTAACCTTTTGCTTATTTAATGTGTATGGAAATACATTTACAAGTTAAGTTTTTTTTGCATATTAATACTGAAATAAAATGGGGCTACATTTCATCCCTGGTGATTTATAGTGGGCTGCTTGTTCACAAAGTTGCAGACAGATACACTACCCATCATTACACATAAAAATGAAACGAAAATTATGAGCATCTTCAAAGTCAGTTTGTAAATAGAGACTTCACATTGCTGTAAAAAAGATTATGCTACCTGATCAGATGAATTCAACCTGTAAGTTAGTATCTGAAGTTTAAGAAATGTACTAAAATTCCAACATTTGATATATGAAACCCATTCGTGATATCTTCTGCCTCCCAATGAACAAGAGCAATCATAGAATGTGCAATAATAAAAAAAAAATACATGTAATCTTGAGCTCTATGAGCCAATGCACAAAGTTAATGTTACATATACAAAGCACCTCAAAATAATGTCCTGGAAATATCTGTTACGAATATAACCTGTATGGGTGATTTTATGACTTATATCATAACTTTATCTCTACAAGAAGTGTATATCACAGATTTAACTCACTTTAGCAGCTATAGCAATGTGGTGTAATGGAGGGTTCTTTTTGGGGTGATTTCAATTCATACTTAATAACTCCTTTGCAGGGGTTTAGGCAAAAAATGTAAGGATCAAGAAGTTTTCTTTCAGCAGAGATTGTATCCATTGTTGGTCATATTAGATATGTCATGACAAGACCCTGACATACAGTGCCATCTATTGGTCAGGTGTTGAGAAAAAGGACCAGAGCTAGGAGTCTTCATGAAGGGACTGGTCATATTCCTGTATTAATCGTTTAATGTGTCCTAGTTTAGTGTGCAAGTAGTCAACTTCCTTCTTCTCTTCCATGTATTTTGAGTCATTCTTCATGCCCTTGTATTCTCTGTAGATTTTGTCACGGATTTTCTGCAAAAATAAAATTTTTAAATGAAAATTCAACTTTAAATGGCAAACATTATGAAATGTAAATAATAAAATACTGGATAAATAAACCATCTAATGCATCTGTAACTATCTATCTAACTTTAATGGACAACCAATTAGAATAACAGTTCATAGTACAATATAAGACAACATGAAGAGCAGCATTATCAAATTAGAGTATCACCAGAAACATTGATGCAACTTAATCAACAATAAAAATGACAAATTCAAGGCCAGACAAGAGCAACTAAGTTCTTATGTAAGCAGGGAGAATACCTTGCACTGACCATTTGCTGTGCTCATATATTCATATAACATTTAAAAAATTAATAATAGTTTGCCATCTCCTCGAAATTAATGTTTTTCAGAATCAAATCAATGTTTATCACAGTCTTCTGTGCCTGGTTTAAACAGCATTTTTTAGAAACACTTGTCAAAGTATCTCCCTCCCCTTGATGTGGGACCTACAGTCCAGTGATAAAAGCATTATATGATAATGAAGATATCAGGAGTTCAACCACTTTCCAAAAGGATAAATTTGGAAAGGTAATCCCCTCTGACATATAGCATTTTTATGTTAATACACTTTCCAAATAACTCTTCAAATTTGTAACACCAACATTGTGTACTGAAGATGATTCTTTATGAACTCCAAATAGATTGCTATTTGGAAATGTACAAAAACTTGGCAAAACTATTATAAATATCCTATATCAACTTCTCAGTGTTCTTATTTAAATGTCCATGTGATGCCCCTTTACATGAACATTCACTCATTTCCTGTGTCAAATCATCTTAGAGGTTAGGATATGTTGAAACATTCACCTCATACTCCTCTGTGCCAGGTTTGGACTTGTAGAGCTGTTCTTGGAGCTCTCGGAACTTCTTGGAAACTTTCTCCACACTAGCATGTATCCCCCTGTAGTGGTCGTACTGTTGGTTAAAGTCCTCCTTGTACCTCCTCCGCTGCTCTTGGGAGTTGATCATGGTGTACTGACTGGAAAGTATAAAAGTATCAGCAACTACAGTTACAACTGTCTTAAATGCACATTCATTATCACAATTTTCAACTATCTTTAAATGTAATGTCCTTGTAATGCCCTTGTATGCAAGACAAACTTGTGAATGATCTATTCTATCCATATAGCTTCTAGTTGTGAACTTGAATTAAAATTTTTCATAAATAAAAGTTGAAAACTTAGATAGCTGACAAGGGGGAGAAAAGACATAACTAAACTGCACTCATAAAACTTAAAATATGGAAAAAATCAGGAAAAGAATATGCTTTCACAGTAAATCTTGTCTGCTTACAGGATGTAGTCTGGGGTGTCTGAGGTGGATGAAGCTAAGGCCCGACTGCTTCCTTTGTTCTCTTTAAAAGAAGAAAAAAACTGTTATACATCAAAATAGCAACCACTTTTGATAATATTTCTGTTTTCAAATAGCAAAACTGTTTACATTTTGTGAACCATATCTGAATTTTGTTAAGAACCAATCTAAACACAGAAAAAAATAAAAGCCCTCCTTGTTTTGATATTTTAATGGAAAAGTTCCTAGACAAAATCCATTAAATAAGTGTGCAGTAAGAGCTGGTGCTTTTTTTCCTGGCAAAGCCTGCATCAAAAAACAACAAAGGTATGTCACAACATAAGAAACCAAATCAGAGTTAATGTATTTTTTATGTAAACTCTTGTTTAACCTCACAAGTGTCTCTCTCCACAAAAAAATGCAACTACTTAGGCCAAGTTTTACGAAGTTATAACGGTAACCTGAAGACAGCCAACTGGTAGTTCAAAATAAGAGAGAAGTTAACTGAATGACACTAAATACAGAGCATCATGTATTATCAAACAACAGAATAACTGCACATTTCTACTGCAGTGTTGAAAGACAGCCAATTCACTGCAATTATTATTTATGTTATGTGGTTAATTTTTTATTGAGTTATAAAAATATGTTTTAAAATATTATGAATGGCAATTCCTTTTGACCGCCTACTTGTATGCTGCGATTGTTGTTTGCACCATGTCTGTCATTTGACTTCCTACCTTCATCTGTCTTAATATGGCTGGAATCTGGAGTAGTTGTGGTCACTTCATATTTGTCTGGACTATAATGACCATTGACAGTAGCCTTGCTGGAAGAATGGGCTATTCTCTGTTTTTTACTAGGCTGGTCTAACTCACTGATGCTGCTACTACTGCCTCTTTTCTGAAAGTAAAAAGAAATTACCATTTTTATATAAAGTTGCCTCAGGGTGACCTGTTACCAAGCAACCAAGACAAGGTGCATTGTGTTACCAAGCAACCGAGACAAGGTGGCCCATGTTACCAAGCAACCAAGACGAGGTGGCCTGTCTTACCAAACAATCAAAACAAGGTGGCCTGTGTTACCAAGCATCCAAGACAAAAAAAAATGACCTGTGTTGACTAACCTGTGAAGAGGGTGGACTATGAGCAGTACTAGTTGGGGATACAGATGGAGATCTTGTGGGAGTGCCATTGCTTTCATGCGGCCTACGCCTGAAATATAGCAACAAAAACCAATTAATTTATGCTATTTAAATATCCAAAAGCATTAATTTTTTTTGTAAATGTTTTCTGTAAATGCAAGTTGTCTGCTTGTGTATAGTTGCACAGAATCTAATATCATATATCAATTACACTAATAACCATTGATAAAAAATTAAATATAACAAAATCTTCAAATACTGATTGAATATCATCTCAATTTACTACAATTGCACTGCAAGATAAGTACGTAAGTCACTGTATCTCATGTTTTTTTTTCAAGATTTTTTACCTTTTCAATAGCTGCTTGTCTGTTTCTGTATAAAATGGCCAGTCTGGTTTCACACTATCATATAGATGTTTAGCTAAAGTATATGTATTTTCCCTTGGGGAAAAGTGAGCTACTTGCTGTAATATGGAACCTAATGAATTCTTGTCTTTTTCTTTAATACCATCTGAAAAAAAGATTATATATAAAAGTATTTTTAAAAAAAAAACCTTATAAGTTATAGGGTTCTCTTTCACAAATACGACATTGTCTAAAAATATGGAAGTGTAAATAAAATAAAATATTCTTATTGTTTGTATAATTAATTTAGTAAGAGAAAGGGAGATGTTGAGCTGGTGGCATAATTATGGAAAGATAACCAAGCCCCTTTTGACTGGGCACTGGCCATCAAGAGGGTCAGCAGTGGAATGGGTCATCGCCATTTAACTTATTTATGCAAAATATGATCTTTAGCAAAAGCAATTTTCAACAGGCAGCGAGTGCAATCAAGCAGACTTGGTAAGAACAATTACATTTTTACCCTTCAATCCAACCCTGAACACCTCCTACACATTACCGCAAAGGTATTTTTTTCTATATCCCCAAATTACATATATAACAATTATCAGCTTACAGGCATCTTTTTTTTTTTTTTTTTGTATAACGCGCCTTATGCCATATTGATTATCCTTTTATTTTCAGCTACTTTACAGACGTTTGAAAGCTAAATCAAGATTTGAAGCACGGTCAGCTGAAGACTACTATGCTCCAATTCATGACAATATACATAAAGACTTTTTACAACTAGCAGCTAACATAAACTGAATTTCTGGCATTTCAGTTGTGTAAGCTAAATAAATAAATCTGCAAATGCACCCACGTGACAAAATACTGTAATGCTATCATAGAAAGCTAACCAAGCCCCTTTTGACTGGGCATTGGCCATCATGAGGGTCAGCAGTGGAATGGGTCATCACCAAACCAACAGAACCAATTTCTTTATCTATGTAAACCCAGCACCATGGACCTGTTGCTAGTGGTTGCCAAGAAAAATGCAATACTGCCTATGTATACTTGAAACTGAACACCTAGAGCCCAGCAGGAGGCGCATTATCAAATTCACCCATCTTATGAAAATCTTGCAGACTTGGAAATTTTTGGACCAAGTTATCAACAACAAAGGGTATACATGTCCACACAGATGTTTCACATTATGCATACTTAGAGAAATGCTTTACAGCAGTTCAGCTCACTTTGGCATGTTCATGGATGTCAATAGTGGAAGCCAGCTATGACCCTTTACCTTAGTATCTTTATTCAATCATAAGGAACAGAACACCCACTGTTCCACATGCAACAACTCACGGTGGACTACTTCCAGCCACCTGTTTTTCAAGAAACCCATTTCCTCAATTAGTCTTAACAGGTTCCTTCTCCTATTTCCTCTCTTAACTTAGGTAATTATTTTTCCATTACCACTACTGGCCTTTTTTTTTTTTTTTTTGTGAGGATAATTTTTTTGTCAACTACACCAGGGCACTAGGAGTAACATATTATTTTCAAATGACAATTCTCAAAAATAAATGTAGTACAGCATAATAATGAATACTGTATTCCACTCATTTGTATTCACAATCAGTATAGATTTATGCCAATATAATTTTTTTTACTGCTTTTTCATGCTAGAATGATCATTTTTCCTCAAAGATAGCTAATACTGTTGTATAGATTTTCATGTAATAACTTCTTTGTGCATTTTTTATGGGCATTGAGGTCCCCCTCCCTTTTTCCTGCGAAAAGCAGTTAATGGAGATAAATTTATTATAAATACACGGATTCATATCTACTTCTGTAATTGAATCCTTATTTATTTCCATTTCCTCCTAGCTTATCTGTAAACAGTTCTTACAGGTTGAAAATACTTATGGTATCTATTCATTTTGATATGTGTAAAATCTCTTTCTTTTTATGGGGGGCCTGCCTGAGAAAACTCATCTGGCTTTCTTTCCATCTCACGCCATTTGTGGTAGAAGTAAAAGTTGCATGCAAATAAAACATTAACACACACTCACACGCACGCACACACACAAACACAATGGAGTATCATTTATAATAAATTCCAAAGAATGAGTTTGTATAAAAAATGGAGCTGCAGTGAATGAAATAATCTCACCTTTTTGTAATCTAGCTAATAATTCTGGTTTTTTGTAAGGTCGAACTGCTAATAAATGGATCACCCTGTCTCTGAAATGTAAGAAGAATGTTACAAAGAATTGATGTTGTATGTCAATAAGTGTAAACTCATACTCAATAAGAGAATGTAACTTAACAAAAGTTTCTTAATTGATGGCATTTTTTATTAATATTATCTTTTTTTTTAATTCAAAGATCAAGGATTTTTTTCAGGAAGAAACAGCTGCGGTTGGAATATTAAACAAGAAACAGCAGTTCTATGCTGGTGTTTAATATGGTAATCATGCCTTCACTGTGGATTATACAAAATATTTTCACTGACTTTTGCCTTGTAGACCCCAGTATGCATCACTTCACAAACTAGCCAGTACCTTTTTCTATTCAGCAAAAGCTACAATGTGACATTTCCTAGTAACATCAAATGGTGACAGCCATGTCTTTCTTTTCTTTTCTTTTTTTTTTTTTTTGTGAAAAACAAAATGGAGATGATGTGTGGTATTTTAATGCACAGAACCTCCAGTTCTTGATGCAGTTTAAAATAACTCATCTTTGACCCAGCTGATGTAACTGAAGGCACTTTGATCACAAACAGGCTCATTTCAAGTTATAGCACTTAAAGTGATGCAGTATAGCTTGATTCATCAGTAATGACAAAAGAACAATTATGTCATAGTAGTAAGTGTTGCTTTGCTGACTAAAAAACAAATTCCTATCTGCAACTTTCATAATGCTTCCGATAAATAGGGTCACATATATCTTATTTCAAAGTGCTTTATACAAGATGATCATTTAACCACTGCCAGCATTACTAACCTGTATGGCAATGCCATGATGGCAGAGTTAGGTTTACTACTACTAGAAGAACTACTAGAATTCGAAGAATTCGTCATCACAGCTGCAGCATTACTGTTACTGGAAGAGGACTTGGCACTGGAACTGCTGGTGATCCCACTGGCTCCCCCTAGGGCAGGGTTGGACTTGGACACCAATGAAGATGCTTTGGAGACAGATGCTGCTCCCCTGAAACTACTCCCCATCGTCCCCGTTCCTGCTGACGTGTAGGAAGGACTGGTTTTGTGATGGGAAGGGCCATTACTGCTTGCACTGTTTTTTGAGTAAATTGCACCAGCCCCACCCCTGATCACTTTCTTGATTTTGCGCCCTACATTTGGTGCACCTGGCTTAATTTCTTTGGCGCTGAAAAATATTGTTTTGCCTTTTAAAACAGCAAACCCTGCAGATCTTTAAAGATGAACATGCCATTTCTATAAAATACTGCAAATGATAAGACTAAAAATAATATACTGGTTAAATTTTCTCATAGCAATAGCTAAAAAACTGAAAGTGCAAGCAATAAGGAAGCAGTCTTATCACTCCTTTTCCTTAAAATGCATCACAATTTAATGAGAGTAAAATGTAAACTAAGACAGGTAGAACAAATGTGAGCTGCAGAAATTGATCTTTACCAATTTTTCTTGCTCTCTTCTTCTGCCAGTGTCATTTTTTGTTTAGTGGCTTTGTAGACATCGTCAGTGGCACATACCGAGATTTTAGAGGGCATACTACCAACTAGGTCAAGTTGACTGGAATAAAAGAAAATCGCTTAATTATCAATGCATTTATTTGATCTAAATATATCACAGATGCAGTAACAAAAAGCAATAAACATTTTTAATCATGACCACAACTACTAGGATGAAAGAAGTACAACTGATCCACAATAAGATAATAACATTTTTACTATTTATATCAACTAAAACACCTGCTGAATACTTCCAAAGTTGAGAAAATTTTACATCCACATTATCTCTGAGTAATACTGTAACAGTATGTTTCAAGAGGTTCTACCATGAAAGTACTCTACAGGGGACCTTCCTCCCTCTCAAAACATCTCCATAAGTTTGCTTCCTGCTGTTAAGGCACTTGCCTTGTCAAGTGTGTGGAGGAAGGGAGGATTAAAAAAACAACACGGATCACAAATTTCAATGCTTAAATGATTTTTGTCGAAAACAGTGACACAGATTTTATTAACTCAACTACAACTGTTGAACCATACTATAGTTCAAACAAAGTCAATAAAGGTTTACAATTTCTATATGCAAGGTCATTCATCTATTGATCTTAGTACTGTTACTGCCTCTAAACATTACTAGTTGGCACGTTAGCCACCAGTTAACCCCCACAGAGACAAAAGCAATTTGATATTTCAGTCCTGGACTCATCTTAACCATCTTCACTGAATAAAAAAAAATCCTAATTTGTTATTAATACAATAAAAAGCACATTAAAGTATGCATACACAGCCATGGTTGAGATACACCACAACTGCTTTTTTGGAATTTTGGATACATGCCACTGCGCTTTGGAATTTATAAAGTATAACATGGATAAATGTGATATGACCTTCTGCAAAGGTCACAGAAATCACAGTGTTGAAAAGACAACTCAAAAAAAATTTTTTTTCAAAACAAGCTCTGGAGAGTTATATATAAGGTCTTATTATTTCAAGTCAATTGACTTTAAAATTGTTTTAAATCAAAATTGAATGAGTGTAAAAATACATAAAAAGTAAAGTATATAGAAAACAGCGATTGCAATTGTGGACAATTATTACACTCCTTTTTTATGGGAAAGAAAAATAAAATACTAAATAGTGCTTTAAACTTTCTTGCCATTTTTGTTAGTAATTTTTCTATTCTGATTTTGACCTTTAATGCAACTGCACGCAACAACCTCTAAACCAGTATATATAGAAAACTTGGCAAGTCACAGGTTTAACAGCCAGATTTACAATCAACATAACAATAAATGTCATTTAAAATGCATTTTAAAACATTTTAACGTGATGCTTTAAGAAACAGACGGAGTCATTTCAAGTTAATTTTTATATGGAAATTCAAGGTTCTTAGTCAGCTGTTGCAAATGAACAATTTGAGAGAATTTAACTTCAATTTTCACAGCATCACAACAGGTTTAAAAATATCACTTGACTAGCATAGAGCCTTATGTAAAGTTCATATCATATCAACATATCCTGATGACATGAGAGGAATAAAAATAAATAATTCATGGTTTCCCCCGTCAGGCTAGAAACAATGAGCTATACACAAATGGCTATAGATACACATACAACCCTCAAACTTACCATGTCTAAAATACAATACAAACTTGAAGAGAAATCTTATTCATTGTTATGCATGAGCTGAAATGTCTTTCATGTGGGGATCTATGCACATGTACAGGGTCCCCTTTGTCTTCACTTCAACATAACCCATTCATGCTCCACATCAGGCAACAGGTCAATCCAGTTTACCAGGGCCATGAAGAAATCTTTTTCACAAGTTATTCACATTTTTTGGGGGGAGGGGGGGGGACTAATTTTATGCACATTTCTGTATTGTGAGAAGAACTTAAGCACTGAAATGATGCTATCACCCAGTTAACTTCTGGTAAAGAGAATCAGTTTCCCAGTAAATTACTATCAGCAGCCTTCATATGATGCAGAATTTACTGTGCAGCCTCTGAGGTTCACAGATACATGGAAATGAAAACATACAGGGATATTTCTGTGCACTTGAAGAACAAAAGCTTGTGGATTTGTCAGTCACATTCTTGCACAAATGGGTTTGTTAATATTTCACTTAAGGTTTAATAAAAACCTTCAAACACATACTTGACCTGGAAAAAAACTGATATAAATCTAATCTTAATTCAATATAAATTGAGTGTAATGTTCAACAATAGCTTTTCCCAACTGGTGTTTAACTCTTGATATGATAAAAGCAGCATGAGAAAAAGACATTCGGTTCAGCCGAGGGTCTATCCAAGTTGTGTACAAGTTAGGTATTCTTGGGGGCTAATTATATCGTAATATTATTTTTTAACAAGTGTGGACTGCTAAAAGCAGAGAAACTGGACAATCCAAATGTCATCCATCCGTTGTTCACAGGAACTCTTCACTCATAGACCCCATTCCCACAGATTTTAGATCGATCCCTATGCCTGTGGGGAGTCTCACTAGATTACTGTCAGCTTAGCCGGCTTAGGCAACTGTCTGGCCTACTAAAAGCTGTAGGGGGTAATTAACTACCGTGCGCGCGGCTGACAGCAATTTAGCATGAACCCCCAGGGAGTTGGGTCGATCTAGCTGGATCGATCTAAATCTATGGGAATGCAGTCATAGACTGGGTTCCCATAAACCTACAAGGATTGATATAACTCTGAAGGGATTCTCCCTAAATTGCATTCAGTTAAAGTGGCTTAAATGTCTGCCACGCCAACTGAGGCTACTAGGGGTAATTTACTTTCGTGCACACTTAAACTGAATGCAATTTAGCAAGAATCCCCTCAGAGATACATCGATCCAGATAGTATGATAGGGTTCTAAAATGGTCCCATACACACACTTCTGATAATAGCCCAACCGGTCACTGCATGACCAGTGAAAGTTCTATATGCAGTTTGGAGAAAGGCATTGAGTACTTCAATTGACAGCAAACTAAATGTACCAATCAAAGTGGAGAACTAAAAGATTATTTTCAACAAAGGTCAAAATTTAGCCAGTTTTTTTAGGTGACCATGGGTAATCTGCCAACAGAAATTTAGGTTTGACATTGCAGTGGCTATATGACCTTGTATATTGGCCTTATAAGTCTTCATGCAGACATCCAGATTGATTTTCTAGGGCTTTCTATATCGCTCAGGCTTAAGTCTACACAACTTACATATATACCCTTTTAAGGCAAAATGAGCTATCAAAATTCCATTATTTCATTTCTAATAAACTACTTGGGTTTCTTTTTATAAAAGCCTTCAAAGTACCTGCATTTGTTTTGTATTCAAATGTGTTTTTAATATTGAACCAGTATATATACATTTATTTTGACAATGACTAGTATTATCTATTTACGCAATTCTTGCTTTGCATAAAATTTCCATAAAATTTGGTCTTTCTTAATTTCCTAATTTGGGACTTAGATAAACCTGTTACATTTCTGCTAGTCTCTTGTGCATGCATGGTGCATGCTTTCTGCCAGTTTTACTCATGAAGTGCTATCATTTATACAGTTTACATACAGGGGCATTCAATATTTGAATAGTAATCAAGTACAGAGTTTTAATCCCAAAACAGAACCAGTTTAATATCTGCACTTGGATGATTTTATAACAATCATGCAAGGTTTTTTTTTCAACCAAATCATCTTGTTGTGATGCATAAGTGATGCCATCAATAAAATTGGTCTTGAGAAGATGGGGCACTACATGAACATAAATAACATAGAGGAACACTCTGATAATTGCACAATTGGTAACTGGCTGGAGACGATGCCATTTCTTGTTAATGCTACTACCAAAGAGGTAATCATGTGCTTGACTCTGAAAGAACAAAGTGGCAGAGAACTCTAGCCCTTGTTTGAAATCGACTGATTTGCTTAGTGAATTCAGTGCTTTCTAGCAGCAAATAGGATCTCGATTGCTATAAGCAAGTGTTCTAAGAGAGATCTTACATGGTGTCACCAAGAGAAAATGATGATGATGATCACACAAGATATGTATTATGCAAGACACATTAAATAACCAGTTCATGCCATCATAACATTCAAATTATCAAATTTCATGCATACTTTTTGTGGGACTGTTGGACACAATCAAAGCTACCGTTCGGGTCGCCTGGGAGATTCGATACAACAAATCGGAACTGTTTAAATCCTTCTGCACTATCGGAAGACTTGCTTGGAATTTTGATAACCTGAAGAAGGCAAAGAAACAAATTAAAAAAAAAAGATATATCTTCCAAACTAAAATTCTGGTTACAATTACAAAAAAACAGCTGAAGTTGACATTTGGACAGACAACCTTTAACAATGTAAAAATAGAAGAGTGACAAAAAGTTACAGCAATAAAGAAAATTTGGGACTTGATACCTACTAGCCCCAAACTTTTATTGTAAATCCGAGTTTTGAACCATTAAAAGAAATAATTAAACAAAAAAGATAATCCAATCCGATTGGTTTTTTGAGAAGTTATGACATTACGTACCAAAACATAGCATCTGTCCATAAAATTGCAGTTAACTGTATTGAGCACATATTCAAGAATAGCACTAACATATTTTCAGTGTTGAAAACATCTGTTCATCATAAAAAAAAGCTCATTTAAATCCTCAAGTAAACCAGACTTTAAACATGCCATATAAATTTCAAAAGGCTGATCGCCTGTGAAAAATCTGTGTGTGTGTGTGTGTGTGTGTGTGTGTGTGTGTGTGTGTGTGCGTGTGCTTGTCTGTGTGTGTATAACACACACTCACACACACAATAAGAAGACATACAAATCTAAAAGTTGTCACATTTTAGGCCACCGATGGCCACATTGGCTGGCAACATAAAATCCTTCCAATGCTGTTTCATCATTGGTGTAATCATAGTTTTATCAATTAAGATCTATTCTGGGTAATAATAAACAAGTAATCCATCTTATAGCAGAATAGGTATTAATGAAGACGTATCGATCATTTCCTGCTAATTCAGTACACTTCATGGTGTGAGTGGGACTATATTTCACAGTTACTCTAATTTTAAAACATCTATCTTAGTTAAAGCCACAACTGCTGCCTTATAAAAAGCAACCAATCCAACTCAGTCCTGTATTCTGGGCCTGTTGGTTAGGCAACTACATACCCCTTCATTGTTTCTTAACTGTATGACTGGTCTGTGGCTGGTGGCGGTGATCTGAAATGAGAAAATTGAAAATTTGAAAATATTTCTTTCTTTTTCCTTTACTAGTATTTAAACTGCTTTGGCTCAGTTCCCACTTAGGTGTCTGCTGATTTGTCTGATAAAATTACCTGTTTATTGAGCTTGTTATTAGAACTGACTGTTACAGTGACATGTCAAATATTTTGACTTCAGACCTTTCTTTTGGAAAGGATGACCCCCAATCCTACCCTAAAAAAATTCTAACCTAAATGTTACATGTACACTCTCATTAATAGACCAAATATCATTGTTTTGAAATAGAAGAAGTTATGTGATAGCGTAATGCCAGCTGACAACTAACACATAAAAAGTTAAACAAGAATAACAGGTGTGTGTTTGTGTGTGCGCGCACGTTTGTGTGCATGTGTGGAGTGGGAGGTATATATTCCCCACAAAATGCTGACAAATAGTCTTTCTCTTCACTCATTTAAATTTAATCTGGAATTCAACATAGTCCATATCTTGATAAAATCTATGATAGGATATAGTTTTAGTGTGTTCAAATTAAAAGAACTGATACACTTATCATTATAACCTATATCGTATTTATATTTAGTATTACAAACATATCCATGCCAGGTCAGATCTAATCCTATCAATTCATTTACTCTTTGTTACTTAAAGAAAAATGTACAGACTGACAAATGTTAGTACAAAATGAACTAACAGTATCTTTTTGTCACAGTAGATTTTGTCATCATGATTATGGACAGACATGTTGTTTATTATAGGTGCTTTAACAGCTAGACTGCTGTTCATCAAAAAAGTAAGGTTTTCTGCACTCATAATACCCTAAATACTATATTCTGTCCAACAAATCTACAGACAACTGAACTTCTGTGAAAATAACAGCACTCAAAGTGACCCAATGCCCTATGTCATATATGTCAACAAGGAAAGTGTCATATTACCGAGCAGAAAAAAGCTTGGTCAGCCCTTTTACAAGCAATGGTAACAAATTGACGTCAGATGTCTCTAAAAATGGTCCAAGACAACACACAACTCAAGAGTACATGACACACATTGATTTATTAATTCCTGGTTCCTTCTCACTACCCCATTAACGTACAACACATTAACTGGGAGCATAAACTGTTTCCGTTGTTTTCATTGATTTCTCCAAGTAGGACACTAGCTAGCTGTGAACAGCAATGATGCCAGTCGACAGTGTGGTTTACATATTCACCATTAATAAGAAAATACTGCCCACATACTTCCTTTGTGAAATAGTTCAGGTGGCTATGGAGAGGGTTGGCGTGTGCATGTTGTTGTTTATTAGTGAACGTGAGCATGTGCATATGCATATGTGTAAACTTGTAGAGGGAAAAGATTACAGTTGTACAACTGTAATGTGTGGGGTTGTGGGAGGAGGAGGATGTGACACATGAGAGATCTTGCACAGTGTTAGAGTAGCGGGCTGACAGCAACTGCATGGATTTCACAGCACACTTGTAAGCAACCACTGCCATCAGCCCGTGTACATGTGTGTGTAAGAGGAATGGGCCTGAGACAATTACCCGTTTTCAAAATATGAGGAAGAAATCCCTTTGAAATTTAAACCACCTGCCATTTAAATTGGATAATCATGACAACAATGCTACCCATATTTCACCACTAAGAAACAGGAAAAGGAAAATCATGATTACATGGGCCTTTTTATTCTCTAACTTTATTTACTTCAAACTAGCTGAATAACACATAACAATGTCATCACAGGACACGACCCCTTCCACCTGTCATCTAATAGTTGTTTACCTTTTCAGTCTAACAGCAAGCTTTTCAAGTTTCAATTAATGTACTCAGTGTACCTGATCAGTGATGTTAGCTCAGATGGATGGAGTGAGGACCAAAGTCTACACTCATGCTAGGCTAGCAAAGAAAAAAAACCCTGCCAAATTTTAATTGAAAATGAAAACTTCATTTGTTCCTTTTCTAATTTGTCACAGTGTAAAATTGTAGTTGTTTTAAATAAAAAAATATATACTAACATTAGCCAAGAAAAAGGTCATAACTTGATTATGGAGAGGAATTCTTTCGATAACTATTATTTTCATCAAATGTGCTACTCATATTACGAGTACTTCAATGTTAGTCAGAATGGTTGACAGTAAGTAGTACATTTACTGCACTAACATGTTTACTCCACTTTGGCAAATATAATTTACCTTTTGATAGCTAGGGCCTAACGTCTCAAAAGAAACTATTAATGTGAAAATTGTTTTTTACTTTAAAGCAGTACTGAAATGTTCTACATATGTTGACACAAGTTGCAGTATTCCACTTAATAAGGATACGTGGGCATGTGTAACAATTAGTAAGAAATGGCTAGTGCTAAAAGTCTAAAAAATTATATACTATAACTTATTTCAGTGGTGTAAGTACATATTTATCCTGGTTTGAAATTGGCAAGGTTTAAAATAAAAGTTCTATAGGGAAATCTGCCTGGGACTCTGCCAGAATCCTCAGACTGGCAAATATGGTATCAATTCCTAGGTATAATCTTTCATATACCTCTTTTTTACCAAACAAAGTTTAAGCCAAAACAAAATTTATAGTCCATAATGTGACAAACTGACACACATTGTGTTTCTTCTACACTATTCCCAGCATTATTTGATTTTAAAAAATGCACATGCTAGCATAAGCTAGAATTGTAGTGAGGGCAACTTGGATCATTAACACACTGTGTAGTCAGAAATTTCCACTGTCCTCACTCTTCAACAATAAGTAAAATATTCCATCTTATGAAAAGTTTTATGTGTCTGACAGTCAGAAACATTAAAAGTCTAGAACCACAGGTACAATGGCAGTCTCTTTCAATAAGTTACATGTACTTGCTAATCATAAAGTACCAAGTGGCCAAGCTCCCAGACAAGATAACAGGAAAATATCAAGTTATGACAAGCTGTTTTCAGGTTTTCATACGAAGACACCGAGATTAGAGTAGCCTGAAGGGCAAGCCAGGTGTTGACTGGGCTTATCTCTCCTTGAGCAACAATGATGGATACATCTCAGTTCAGATTACTTTGGAGTTCCTGTCTTTCCCAACCTTATCAACTCAGTAATTAAATGTCATAATGGGAGTATTTCCTTACATGGATAGTGTAGTGTATTTGACTAGATAAACTATTGTTCATATTGTTAAATTTCACAAATCTTACTTTTACACTTTTCAAGATTGTATTATCATTTTCAGTCACCCATAAAAAGTGTTTATTGTAAGAGCTTATCACTTTTTTTAAACATTAATGACAAAAAATACTTGTAAAATAATTGATCAATTTTGTTCAAATGCAGTGAATTTCAAGCACGGATTTCAAGCATATGTTTAGGTAGGGGCTATGTTATTGTTCTGACAGTCTGATAATTCTTCAGGATAAAAAAATATTGATTTATCATCAGCTGATTGTTGCATGTGATTCCGGATAAGATAATTTTCTTTGCTTTTGGCTCTTGAAAATAATCATTTTTGACACAGTGAACACAAGCTGTCTGTAATCACCTGCAATATGATACCAACTTCCAACTTCATTAGTGCGGTGTTATATTTAGAGAAAATGCACTTTCTTAATTAAGTTTTTCAAAGAAAATATTAAGCCTTTCATTTGCCTGCCCCAAGAGTTCTAACAGAACAAATCTGCAATCTTTTGTGATAGCTAACCTGAACTCAATCAAAATGAGAGTACAATATGGGTTGTTCTTTAACTGATTGTACCTTGATTAGATTTATGGCTTCCCTTTGTTTTGGTCATATGTTTGTAATCATTGCTCACTTGTTAACTATTGTATACTAACTCAATCATTAATAAATTTACCGCATTTAAGGGCCCACCCCTCTCTCTCGCTTACACACACACACACACACACACACACACACACACACACACACACACACACTAAACAATACATAAATGCACAGGGAGAAGAATAAGAGGAAGATGTTAAATAATTCTAATAAATTACAGTACTGATAAAAGAGAACATTTTATGACAGGAAACAAATTGATAAAACTGTAATAGCTTTTTGCTGAAATGCTGCACCAAATTTGTTCTTTACATAAATGAGTGAAATCATCAGCTGCAGTTGTCTTTTTTGCCCCTATTCCACACAGACTACGAATTCCACGAACCACCGGGAATTGATAAATTTTAGAAATCATGAGGAAACATGGAATTTTGCACATTTCTGGTAGAAATCTTGTCCCTGCATAGAGCAGCTACAGTACTGGCCTTAGATTAACATCAACTGGTTATAAATAGAAGACTAGTTCAAAAACTTTTGTGCCAATTCCACGATCTCTCGAGAATTGCAAGAATTGACTGAGGACAAATAATAATCAGTTAAGAGCTTACAGAATTAGTCATGATTGAACTAAGAACCCTGGGATTTATCAATTTATGGTGGTTCATGGAATTTGTAGTTGGTACAGTATAGGGGTAATATTCTATGCTGCTGACTTGACATGCTTTAAAAATCCCTAGCCTGCACGGTACTGGCTCAGAGTTTCAACTAGATATTAGACTTTAAATATTTTTGAGCCCTAATGGAAATAACTGCGGGTCATTTCTAAGTACCTGTAAGTGACAGAGTTTAAAAAATGAGGGTTATTTTTCATTAAAGCATGTCAGTTCCTGAAAAGTTGAGGTAATGGTAACCAGCACCCCAGCACTAAAACAGCCAACCTAAATAGATGTCTATGATTTTAGAGGACTCATTGAAATATATTCAAAATAATATCAAAGTACTCTGTTATAAGAGCCCATTCCACCATGTTTCCCCCATTCTGTAACATCCATTATCAGTCTGAAGTTTCTTTTTCATTTGATCCCAAGCACTATTAATGTAAAATCTCAAGCCACCTTATATACCATATCACTTGTGAACCTAACCTTTGGTAATAGGTGCCATATCCATCATCTTAGCCATCACGTATATTCAAAAGTGTTTATCAATGGGTATAATAAGCAGAATGTCATTACCACAGATAGAAAACACTGTGAGAAGTGGTATCAGCATTATCTATCAACTGATGGCCAGACATGAAGCTGTTTATCTGATCTCAGCATCATAGATATGGCAACTGTCCCTTTCCATAAACCAGTTCATTTTTTAGTCATACTTGACATTGATTTTATGAACAATGGTTGCTAAAGGCAACACAATATTCTCAAGATAACATAATTCACTTGTTCAATGGAAACACTTAGGGCCAATGTTATTTGGAACAGACTTTTTTAAATGTTAGCCACAATTTCCATATATCATACATAACTGTTACAATATTCCTGCTTAAAACAGGGTCATTTGAAGTACAGAGGTAACTTATAACAGCAATTTAGAAAAATATACATTTGGAAAATATACACAATTGGTCCTTTTCAAAATTGGAAAATTTCATTTCCATAGAATCTCCCATTATAATGTCAACAGTAAACAATTCAATATGTATGTATACTGTTATTCTTCATGCTGTCTTTTTAAAGATAAATCATGTTCTCAGTTGCTGCATATCAATGTCCTGCCTTTATCTTAATGCTGTACTTTTGGAGAACATCTCCCACCAATTTATGAAATATGCATTCTTAATTTCAAACATCCCATTTTATCAAATATTTCATATTTTCAAGTTTTTTTGTAAGTTCCTCATAAAGTTTATAGAGCTTAAGGTTCATGTATATAAGTATGAATAGACAATAATAAAGATTAAGCTGTGAAAAGAACATAGTACTTAATAACATTTAATTGTTAGAAGTTATCATTTCAATTCATAAAAAAAAATACTTTAATTCAGCAAAATATCCAGAATTTTCAGAACAAAAGCAAAGGAATTATTAAGGAGTAAAATTGCCCTACCAGTACCTATACCATAAGAAGACAGCTGAGATGGCCAAGCAACAGCTGGCAGAGGAAATAACTATTTTACCTAAATTTCACAAAGAGATGTGAAAATAAGAAAACATATTCAACAACAACGGTCCTACAATGTTTCCCCTACACATATGTAGCCAGCAGGCTATCATGGGCAGCATTATGTGCAAATGAATCAAAACAAATTCAATCCCCCACTTGATAAAAGAGATCAATAAAGGTAAGTTCAGTCTTAATTTGTATTATTCTTTTCAACCTGAGGATACTTAATGAAGACTTAAAAAAGTAAATAGCTTGCAAGTGGATTAGTAAAGCTCTTATAGTACCTATACTCTTATAGTGCAGGATTGCATATTACTACTAGAACTGGCTATTGCTATTTGAGGTACACTTCTTATATAACCTGCACTGACACTTTGAATACAATGCTACTGTGAAGGCCTTGCACAGCTGTTCTACAAACATATGATTTAGTTGCTTTCAGTAAGTTGAAATTGATAAAAATTTTAAATATACATGGAATTTTTGTAACAGAATGACAACCTAAAAAAACTAATATATAAACATACTTGGTTCCTATCCATTAATTTTATTCACCCAAGTGCATCCAAAAATTCATTTCCATAATGCTATTCATTTGAGGTCAATGATTGTATGACCCTGACCTGACCTGACCCCACCTGACCCTTACTTGGTACAATTCACGTTTCTTCATTAGCTATGATTTATGTTTGAAACCATTTGGTTCTAGACTTGACACAATTTTAATATACATCATAGAAGAAGGTCACACTGGCCAATATCTGAATGGTATCTGGATGGTTTCTTTACAGGCCCGTAGCCAAGGGGGGGGGGGGTTCGGGGGGTTCAAAAGAACCGCCCCTTTTGTCAGGAAAAGGTCCATTTTGGGTAAAATTTGATCTAGGTACACATAAGTTTCAGTATAAAAGGTCCCCTTTTTCAGAAAAAGAACCCCCCTTTTGACTTTGCTGGCCATGGGCCTGCTTTAGATCAGTGAATTTCTTAATCACTTTTTAAATTTCTATAAATTCCTTAAACAACATATTAGTGTATTACAAATAAAATACCACTTCAATGATGAGTGAAGGAAATCTCATTTTGAAATCCAATTATTTATACTTTCATCTTATTGTATTTGTTGGCCATTAGTCAAATGACACAAGTAACATGATTCTGTTCACTTTAATTATGTCAAGCGCTAGTCAAATGTTACATATCAAATGCTACATATCTTATTATCCATATATGGTTTCATCAAGTCAAGATAACGTCCTTGATAGGTATGAATATTTAAAAATCAATAGTTTAGTGGTGCTAATCAATAGTTTACTGGTAGTTAGAGGCTGTAAAAGATTTATCCATGTTAAACAAGTCAAGTAGCATTAGATCTAAATACATTATATTATCACATAATACCTGCTATACAATGATGTATCAAGTATTAAGTTTATGAAAATAAATCTGAACAAGATAAAACAATGTTGTTGACTGAAGTAGCCAAACAGCTGGTATAACCTCACCTATCTTCAACATATGGTTTGTTTAAGTTTCCAGTACATGTCCTTCCTTCTCAACTTTATTACACATGAATTCCCTCCAGGGACACAGACAACTAAGCCCTTACTGGTAACTTAACACACCTGCTGATTTTGAGGCAGTGGTAAACATTAATTTAATATCCACCAGTAGTCCCGTCTATTACGAGGTTAGTCCAAGTATGGCATATGCATATCCATGAAATAATAGCTGATAATGATAAAATTAGCACATATCTCACTGGTTGTTGAATTCAACCAAACAATGAAGTGAACCCTATAGTTTCCAAAAAAGCAACAACTTAGAGAGCCGAGGTACAAGTTATTACACCGTTCATTGAAATCGGATTGCAATGTAATGAAATGCACATACGAGGGTGTATTTTGCCCACTGATATTTAGCTTTTCCCATTGATCTACAGTTAATTGGACTTACGTGAGTCTTTTGGAAATCCTCGATGGCTCGAAGTGCTGAGTCGGTGAGTTTTACGTACACACAAGTTTTGTCAGCGCCGGTGGACCTACCAGATGTTAGACCATATTGCTCACCCTCCACCAGCGCCGCCATCTTTGGTCTTACTGCCTCATCCCCAAAGTTGACGTGAGCTTTCGCATCGGCTCAGCAGGTGCGCATTACGATGGGCCGTGACGGATGGTATTGAATGGGGTGCCCTTTAATCGTTGCGATAGCGGAAAAATGAACATCCGACGCAATCCGGTGCAGTGCGTTAAATTTATCGAAGAAAACGAAAGATGTTTAAATGTGTTATGATATTACAAACGAAGCAGGAAGTGGGTAATTTGTTTGAGTTTATAAATTTCCACATCGATTCCAAACCATTACGTCACGCTGCAAAATAGTTAATGTGACCAACAAAATTTACAGCTCTGTAAGTAGGCTTATAACAGAAGGTTGGGGGAGGGGCTCGTAAAAAAGAAAAAAAAACGCCCATCTAGACAGAAAAGATCCGCTCTACATCTAAATTCAATCTTTCTATTGATTTATTCTATTCGTAAACGGATTTTCAATCGCATGTAACACAAGGGCAATGTCACTCGCACTCATTCTCAGTATATCGATATAAAGGTCCATTTGCAGAAAACAGAAAAGTGAAAAATGCAGTCAAAGATATATTTGCAAATACTACTTTTCTAAATCTTTGGTGACAAAAAGAGATAAATCTGGCTTTTTGTGTTAATCATTGAAATTTTAAAATTCATGCCTTGCTAGTAGGCCTATGGGAAATGTTCGTATCCTGTATCAAATGTTTTAGCCTAGACGTCCCTACTTTAGTAAAGAGGGTTTTGAAAAAAAATTTGGATAATATTCACACGCTATTAAAACTTACTTAAAACTACTAAAAATAAGACTGTCCTAAAGGGGTATTACTAAGATGCATGTTTATTTTACTGACACATTTTGCCCTCAACTGCAAGTATATTTTTTTCATAATCCCCGGTAACGAAGGTTTTGCAAATTACTTTCTATGGGAATGCAGTTTCGTCGTGTTTCGTGTAATACTTAGACTGTGGCCTGTTACCATATTGTCAAGCTAATAATGGATGTAACTGAATTCAGAATTTTATTAACGGCTAAAATATTACAAAAATACTTTTAAAAATCTAAAAATTATGACCTGCACCAAAAAACGTAATGAAGGATTCTCTCAATTTCAAAAACTCAGTAACTCTGTGAAAGTAGCCCCAAGTTATTATTGAGTTATTTGTAAAAAAATTAACATTCTAGACATTTTCTGAGACGTTAGAATCGCTTTCTGATAAGTTGCAGATTTTCTACTTTAATAAAAATAAACTAGATCGATTGGAAAATGTCAGATGGTGCGGCGAACGACAGTAACGAAGGTAAAACATTTAGTCCGTTTATGTTTTTTGTGAGAACAAATAAATCTAGTAATTGTTGTTATTTATCTTTTAAGTTGCTAGACTGATGGTAGTAAAGTTCCACTCGCTTACGTTAATAAAGCAAAAATAAACGTTAAATGAACCTATATATTGAGAATGAGTATCAGCGGTTTTGTCATGTCTCCAGAGATCAACTACATGTGTCGACTGACTGCTCCCCGTTTATTTCTCTAGCAGAGTCTCCAGCACGAACGATCTAGCTCAAAGGCGACTGACCAAACTTTTTTTGTTCAACGAGAATTTTGGTACGGATTGATTTAATGATTAATAATTAAATGACTGTTGGTCTCTAGTATATACTGAAAACTTACCTTTTTCTGGGTGAATCCAGGCACTCTTTCTGCATACAAAAAATGTGGATCATCAAGCGCACTGTTTATTTTTATTTTTTTATTTTTTTACAAACACGAGCCGGAAATGTTTGTTTCACACACGAAGTTTTCTAGGTTCAAACTTAATGATTAATTGAATATGAAATTTAAAAAAAAAAAAAAAAAAAAAAAATATATATATATATATATATATATATATATATATATATATATATATATATATATATATATATATATATATATATATATATTATGGTTTTAAAGCTGTTGTCAAATCGCTTGTTCACAACGGTGGTCCATGCGCATGCTTCAAATACAAGTACAATACATTGTATTGTCATTCCATCCCGATGTGACTTTTTTTGGGTCACGTGATCAAATCAGTCGGTGTGAGGTGAGTGCACGATACGACAGATCTTTTGTTTATAGTCTGCGGAGGATTGGACCTGCTGTATACGTAATTTTCACCAAAGTTAAAGAAGAGGATAGATAATTTTGGAAGGTTGAAGGAGATAGGAGGTAGGAATAAGAAACATTGAAAAGTTGAGGACGCTTTGTTGCCCTTATGGGGTCGTTTCCAGGGCGTCTGAACCAGGTCGGATTTTGTTTTTCTTTTCCTTAGTGGTTGTGAAAATGGTTGTGATTGTGATTCATGTAAATGTCTGGCAATTTTTGTGGCATTGAGTAGTATGAAATGTTGCTTTTACCAGATGAATATTCATAATGTAACATGACCAGAAAATGATTGGTCTTCAGTATGGTTTACAAGTTGACTTGTTATTTCAGTTAAACCCTTGCTACATTGTACACAGGACTTGCGGTCGCTAGGAGAACGAATTTAGCCCGACACTTACATATAAGTAACGAAAGAAAAGCTGCAATATTTTAAGTTTGTCAACACTGATGTAAGAATTGAATCTGATACTGGCTATCAAATATTGCCAAAGCCCCAACTAAGAAAGAAGTGAGTATGGGCAAATATTCATTCCCCAAGCGGTCACAAGCCCAGTGTAGTACTTCACGTGCGTATTAAATTTAAATGATACGTTTATTATTCGCCCTACCTGTGTTCGTGAGTTCGGAGTAATGGCAATAATTAAGCTTTTAAAACATGCTTTTGTATTTTTTATTATTTTGGAAAATGCTGGGTCATTGTTTTCGTATTCAAAGGGCTAAAACTGCTTGAATATCAGACTGGTATTTGAGAAGGGTAATGTAATGAGGATGTTGGCAGAATAAGCCTGAAAGACAGCTGAGGACATTAAAATGAAAAATATATAGAAACCCTGTTTGTTTCAAAACATTTTATTTTGAAGGGTCCTCTAAACCAAAAGGATATTGGCCATTGCTGTTTTAATAGGTATCGTAATTTATTCATCTTCTTTCAAATGTAGTGCGAATGCAGACTAAGGTGGGGTACCGTTAAGTTTAATATCTAGTCAGTTTAATATCTAGTCAGTTGTTTCAAGGGTAGCCGTGTCCCTATTCCTCTCTACATTTGAATCCGTTAAATCCTGAATCCGATCGTATGTATGTTAGGCTGTTTACAAGTACAGCAAAAATGGTGGATATTTTGCCCTCAGTCTCGCGGGGTCATCTTTTGTTCGCGCGAACAGTCATTGATTTCTATCGGCTGTTTTATGCTCTGTTTAACTGCGTAACTGGTTCAGGTGAATGACTCGATCAAATGAATTTAGGTCATTTTTCAATGTAACTTTTCTATGAGAACGTCACAACATTATTATTGTCATAAATAAGTTTGTAGAGCACGCATAGAACTTGAGTGCGTTGACAGTTCTGTTTGTTAAGACTAAAAGCAAAATTACAAGCTACTGTAATTATAAAACTGTACCTCTCACTTCAGGTGACTGCAGAAAGCATACCCGTTGTCCTTATTGAAATCTTGCCTCATCATGCAGTGCCACTCTCCATTCATCGTTTTGCTCGGTGTTTTTTCGATCGTAACAACTGGTAAGAAACAGATTAGACTGATGAAGTATAAATAACCAAGCTTAAATAAACTGTATTAAAGGTTATTCGGTAGATTGTGTTGCAATTGATTTTTTTTTTTTTTTTTTTTTTTTTTTTTTTTTTTTTTGCATCGGGAACCAGGGGACGGGTGATAAATCTATTGGCGTTTTATAATATTGCTATTAGGTGTATCTCTAGCCTTACTAGTGCTAGTAGTTCTGAAACAAATTGGCGGGAAATTTTATCGTTAACCATGTTCTCTAGAAACGTCATATGAAGCACACACACACACACACACTTTAAAATAGTTTCTAGTACCTCTGTATTTTTTAGTACAACGTTTTGATAGAAATTAATCACTGGATATTACCTTCTTTATGTAGGAACAACAACCACAACACCTGTTACGACGGTCACAGTCGGTAAGTTCATTGACCAGTCCGTGTGTAAGAGTTATTATAATTGTCGTTTAGGCTAGTCCAAATATAGATACTGTGGTTACGATTGCGATTAATAGGCGAAATATAATTATTTGACAAAACTATAAAAAACATGCACACACAGGTTCGACAGAATAAATTTTAACAAAACAAATGCATTGGAAACTAAATGTGGTTGAAGATTTAGTTTTACCTTCAAAAAAGCAGACTATATTTTGCCGAAACAAGCTACATATACCATTTCCACTGCAACCACTCTGACCCTTACCCCAATAACAACAACCGCTACACCATCTCCACTACTACTACTACTACTACTATACCAGGGCACATGAAATACGACCACTACTGTAGAAACTACCAAACACCACTACTACCGCAGCCATTAGCACTCCAGATATGGACAACGTGGTAACAATCGGTATGTCTTTGGAAGTCAATTTGCGACGCACATAACTTTCATTCAATTTCTGTCTGTAAATTGTTATAAAGCCTCCTAATAAGCGGTATTTCCATTTGATATTTTATATAAAATTTGATTTATATGCAAATAATTTATCAGGTGACGCTTCGGGACTGCAATATTATCAGCCATCAGTTTCAACCCGCAAAGCATTCGTGGAGACAGGGACACCTTTACCGGAGGGAGAATTGCTGAGTTTCTCTGTCTTCGTGCATACCAACACAGGCTCTGCAACGCCCGTCAGGTTTTTCATTTGGAGTGGAACTGCTAGTGACACCATATTTAAACTGGACTATTACATTGACGCTTCGTTACCGACAACGAGTGGAAAATTTACGGTAATTGTCTACCTGGGATTTACAATGAGTTTGTTGTGAAAAGAGTCGCCAAATACTATACAGCTGATATGTATATCGAGCGACCTCTCCGACCTCTTACTTTTTCAATTCCCTTGGAACGATCGATTTGCTGTAGCATGCGTTGGTTAATGTGTTAAAATATTTTATCGTATTTTTCAGAAATATATACCTGATCCCAAGCCTTGGGTTTCTGCTGGTTCTTTCTATGGATGGGGTTATGGAAAAAAGAGTGACATCATAAGTTTTGCATATAATTCTAAATACAACACTGAATTCTCTTATAATCTTCCTGATGATGAAAATACATGGCCAGACGTAAATGGAAGTTACACCTTTTCATTGAATAACCGATACTTCCACGCAGTTGAGGTCCAAATAAGAAACGGTAGGTGTCGTGATCATGGCATCCAATTGATCCAAATCTTTGAAACCTTCACGTTGATGTAGGAATTATTTTAAATTCGTTTACTAGAAAAGTTGTTTTTTTATACGATTTGTTATTGAGTTGAAAGCGAAAAAAACTTTAACTGCCAAAATCTTAAGTTAAATCATTTTTGTTTTTTAGGAACACAGACGACAACAACAACTCCCACCACCACGCCAACCACTACCACGCCAACCACTACCACCACGCCAACCACTACTACCGCAGCCATCAGCACCCCAGATATGGACAACGTGGTAACAATCGGTATGTCTTTGGAAGTTAATTTGCAACGCACATAACTTTTATTCAATTTCTGTCTGTAAATTGTTATAAAGCCTCCTAAAGTTCGGTATTGCCATTTGATATTTTGTATAAAATTTGATTTATATGCATAAATTTTATCAGGTGACGCTTCGGGACTGCAATATTATCAGCCATCAGTTTCAACCCGCAAAGCATTCGTGGAGACAGGGACACCTTTACCGGAGGGAGAATTGCTGAGTTTCTCTGTCTTCGTGCATACCAACACAGGCTCTGCAACGCCCGTCAGGTTTTTCATTTGGAGTAGAACTGCTAGTGACACCATGTTTAAACTGGACTATTACATTGACGCTTCGTTACCGACAACGAGTGGAAAATTTACGGTAATTGTCTACCTGGGATTTACAATGAGTTTGTTGTGAAAAGAGTCGCCAAATACTATACTGCTGATATGTTTATCAAGCGACCTCTCCGACTTCTTACTTTTTCAATTGCCTTGGAACGATCGATTTGCTGTAGCATGCGTTGGTTTAAAGCCTAATGTGTTAAAATATTTTATCGTATTTTTCAGAAATATATACCTGATCCCAAGCCCTGGGTTTCTGCTGGTTCTTTCTATGGATGGGGTTATGGAAAAAAGAGTGACATCATAAGTTTTGCATTTAATTCTAAATACAACACTGAATTCTCATATAATCTTCCTGATGATGAAAATACATGGCCAGACGTAAATGGAAGTTACACCTTTTCATTGAATAACCGATACTTCCACGCAGTTGAGGTCCAAATAAGAAACGGTAGGTGTCGTGATCATGGCATCCAATTGATCCAAATCTTTGAAACCTTCACGTTTGATGTAGGAATTATTTTAAATTCGTTTACTAGAAAAGTTGTTTTTTTATACAATTTGTTATTGAGTTGACATTGACAAAAACTTTAACTGCCCAAATTTTAAGATCAATCATTTTTGTCTTTTAGGAACACAGACGACAACAACAACTCCCACCACCACCACGACCACTACCACGCCAACCACAACCACGCCAACTACTACCACTCAAACAAAAACCACCAAGCCAACTACTACCACCCCAACAACAACCACCACGCCAACCACGACCACGCCAACAACTACCACCCTAACAACAACCACCACGCCAACCACTACTACCGCAGCCATTAGCACCCCAGATATGGACAACGTGGTAACAATCGGTATGTCTTTGGAAGTTAATTTGCAACGCACATAACTTTCATTCAATTTCTGTTTGTAAATTGTTATAAAGTCTCCTAATAAGCGGTATTTCCATTTGATATTTTGTATAAAATTTGATTTATATGCAAAAATTTTATCAGGTGACGCTTCGGGACTGCAATATTATCAGCCATCAGTTTCAACCCGCAAAGCATTCGTGGAGACAGGGACACCTTTACCGGAGGGAGAATTGCTGAGTTTCTCTGTCTTCGTGCATACCAACACAGGCTCTGCAACGCCCGTCAGGTTTTTCATTTGGAGTGGAACTGCTAGTGACACCATGTTTAAACTGGACTATTACATTGACGCTTCGTTACCGACAACGAGTGGAAAATTTACGGTAATTGTCTTCCTGAGATTTACAATGAATTTCTTGTGAAAAGAGTCGCCAAATACTATACTGCTGATATGTTTATCAAGCGACCTCTCCGACTTCTTACTTCTTCAATTGCCTCGGAATGAGGTCGATTTGCTGTAGCATGCGTTGGTTTAAAGGCAGTGTGTTTAAAGTATTTTTCATATTTTTCAGAAATATATACCTGATCCCAAGCCTTGGGTTTCTGCTGGTTCTTTCTATGGATGGGGTTATGGAAAAAAGAGCGACATCATAAGTTTTGCATACAGTTCTCAATACAACACCGAATTCTCTTATAATCTTCCTGATGATGAAAATACATGGCCAGATGTGAATGGAACTTACACCTTTACAGTGAATAATCGATACTTCCACGCAGTTGAAGTCCAAATAAGAAACGGTAGGTGTCGTGATCATGGCATCCAAGGTACAAATGATCCTAATTTTTGAAATCGTCCATTTCATTGCAATTCAAAATTCACTAAGAAGTAAAGCTGTGTTATATTTCCTCATATGTAATTGAGCTGAAGTGATAAAAAACTTTCACTGGTGAAATCTAAAGGTAAATATTTTTTATTTAGGGACACAGACGACGACATCAACCCCCACTACCACAACCCCAACCACCACAACCACGCCAACCACCACTACTACAACTACCACTTCCACCCCAACCACCACAACCACGCCAACCACTACTACTACTACTACTACTACCACCCCAACCACCACTACCACCCCAACCACCACGACAACCACTGCAGGTATGAACATTAAAGTTTTTATCAGAGGATATGGTTTAATTTATTATTTTTTTTACATCCAATTTAGTACGGTGAGATGTACAGTAACAAAGGCATCTAATTATAACATATAAAGGTGTTGATTCATTGTATTCATTGTGTCGTACACCATTGAGATATTATATTCCTACCGTTCAATTAATGTTCACTACTGATCTGTGAATGTATAATCTTTTGTCCTGTTATTCTTCAGTTGTTATTCAAATACCCGATCAAGCTACTGTGGGTGTCACAGTCACTTTCACTGGGGACTATAGCACTTTAGTTGGCAACGACAAGACTGCCATAGTTACAAGCATGAAACAGCAAATGGCCACCAAACTGAATGTGGCTGAAGGCCGTATTATAAACTTGGATGTGCAGCCGGGTAAGTGGGTGTGAACTCCAAATCAGAAAGTACTTTGAATAGGTACATGGTAGGTGAGTCTTGGCATTCTATAAAAGGAGGTAGTGCATAACTTTCTTCGTCCCAAATGTGCCAGTAAGATATGACCCAGGAGCTGAGATATTGAACACTCAGGATTTAAGGAATGCATTGGCAGGCTAAATAGACTCCCCTCTAGAGGTACATGTATGTTGGTTTTGAAACACAATATATGCCGGTATATGCAAAATACCCTTGCTCTTATCTATGATTAAGAAATTTTATAGATATATTTAGCGTTTTAATGATGCATATGTCGATTCTTGCACTACCCAGTCAGAGAGCAGAACTTGAACTTAAAATATATCTGAATGGCGCATGTCACGTATCATGAAAATCTAACAAACGCTTCACTTCATAGTCAAAACTTGCTCAATTTAATTTTTAAAAAATCCAATTTGATTTTTCTTTTTACTTTTAGGTAGCATTGTTGTTGTTTTTGACCTTCTGCCCGCTGTATCGGGTTCCTCAGAAGCGAATCAGAGCGAGGTCGTGACCTCTTTGTACAGCGCTGTCTCCGGCAACAGTTTCACGTTGTCTGCAACTGACGGAACCACAATTCAGGCTGCTGGCATGACATATGTTATTATAGAAAGTAAGTGCTCACCAGTACATTAGAACAAAACAAGTTCCAAACGAAAAAACAAAGTAATATGGAATAAGATGCAATTCATGCGAAAAACATGAACCGTTTAATTAAAAAAAAATACTCTTATATTATCATATGATGGAAGAATATGTTGATACAATAATTATTTTTTCGTGTGTCTTGTACTTGTAGTGACCTCAGCCCCTGTTACGTCGACTTCTACAGCCACTGCGATTCCATCGACAATTGGTATGTGCAACAGGTTATCTAGATACGTGTAGCAGGTAGAATAGGTATACAATAATTTAAATTTACAGGGTGCTTTAAAAAGCAAAACAAACAGAGAATAGTCTGATTTTTTAAGTTATTGAATACGTAGGCCTATTTCAACATTCATGCTTTCTGTGAATTACAGATATCGACAAGGCATTGAAGCTAACCTTCAAGACTGGCGGAGATCACGTTCTTCACTGCCAGTCTTTAAATAGTGATGCCACAGGGCTCAAATGGTACAAGGTTGGCACGGGATCGGAGACACTGATGACAGAAAAAGCAGCATTAGAGTTTCCAAGTGTCACCACTGGCGACGCTGGCTGTTACAGGTGTCGGGACAGTAATGACAACAATGAAGTGATGTCCCAGTTTTGTCTCAGCGTTAACGACACCATGGTGTTTGCTTCTGGGACAGTGACATCTAGCCCACCGACAACAGCGACTCCAGGTGGACTATCCAACATGGAGATTGGTTTCCTAGTGGTTGGTATTGTCGTCGGTGTTATACTTATTATCCTGATTATTGTGCTCATCATATGGTTGTGCCCGTGTTGCCGGCGGGTAAAAGAAGGTGAGTAGTAATTCGCAACAAAATAATTCAAATAACGCTGTTAATATTTCGTTGTTTCAAATGAGATTCATGAAATATGACATTCCATGATATGGAAAATAACTGCCGCTTTTCATGTGACATGCAATACATTTTACCGTATATATCACTAGATTTGTGTTTTGATCTAATATATATGGAAATTCCCGAAATACCAAGGGCTGGATGGTGGTAATAATTGTACGAGTACACTTTTCCACGTCCGTTCTCCGTGGTAACTGCCAGCGTAGTGTCCGTTTTCCGATAATGTATATGAGGGTAATCATAATAACTGACCAGTGGCTGCTCGTTTTTTAAAAATGTTAGTTGACTGTTCGTGCAAGTGGTCACTCATCTGCAAAAGATATATGTATGTGCGGGGCTCAATTGTTTGCTGTTTCTTTGTTTAATTATTGCGATGTACAGATATTACCGGTAGTGCTCTACGAGACGAGGTTTGGTTGCTCTTTCAGCTATTTTAAACTTTCTCAGATGGTTATTTTAAATTCATAGCCATATCTCACCATAGTTAGTTTCCGTGAGCTTTAAATCTGTATCATCATATTCTGACATAAAAAGCCAAAGCAGGCACGAGATTCCATTGTGACAGGTATGGTAGTACGTCCTAGGGACAGAACTACTCTGTCACCCTACCCTCTACCACTGCCACAGATTGATTTTTCACTTGATATTAACAGATAATGTCTCTGGCTAAATATGGCCAATCTTCTAACTGTGGCTGGTGGAAAATGTGCCTATAATATCTGCCGACCTGATAGAGGGTACTCTGACCCCAGGTGCGCTAGTAGTCTGTTACAAAATATTTGTATCGCTCTGCCTCATACTTAAATTTTGTATGCTATTTTAGAAGCCCCTGCCATCAGAGGGTACCGGGGTCCTGTGTGATAAGTACAGGCTATGGTTGGTCAAAAACAACATACTTTTGTGAGGATACATTTTACGACACATACCACGATTGATTTCTCTTGAATTTTTACTGTGCCACAAAGCATGAAACACGGTGTGATAAGTTGTTCAATCCGATATTTTCAGAAATGCGACCTGCAGGCTCCAGTCCTACCGTCAAGCCTTACACAGACATAGGGTAAGTTGTATAAATTGACCGCATCATTTCTGCTGAGACAAATAACGTTTCAGTGCTTGCTATTAATTTCAAAAATAAGTTTTTGTTCACTGGACTAGTATAGGGCCTACATTTTGAACAGAATATTTAGTCTTTACGTTGAATTTTATTGAAAGAAGTGGTCGTCATCTACAATTACATGTATTGAATTTAAAGTTACATTTTGTGGCCAAAATTTGACTTCAAATGCATCTTTCAATATTCAAGGGCGATTGAACATGAAGTTGGAGGAGGAAGAAAGGCCAAGTATGATCTGAAAAATGAAGATCAGAAGAAGAAGCACAAGTCAGTAAAGACTCGCTTTTGATAAAATACAAATGTAAACCAGTGCGTTAGTTCTGCAATATAATGTGTCATTTGTGTCATCAGTTTCTTTGTGAATACACTTAACGCAGCTGACACGTTTTCACAATTTGATTGCTTATTTTTTCAGAAAAAAGAAAGAAGTGCTGAAAATGTCAGATTTACAGAACTTCGTTAAAATCGCCGCAGTAATGAACGGGGGCAAGGATAAGAAAAAACACCGTAGCAGTAAACATAAATCAAAAGACAAAGACCTGGAATTTGACGACATTGGTGACCTTCATAAGAAGGAAAAGAAGGAAAAGAAAAAAGACAAAAAAGAAAGGAAAAAGCGGTCTTGAATGTGTAACCATTCAGATATTTAATGAAATCATCCTGAAGCCATCATTCCTTACCGATTGAATATCCACCGGTGCCAAAATTGAAAGCTGGATGTGTCCTTTTGTGTTAAGGTGACATTTAAAATAAGGTATAGAGATAAACCTCTAAAAACTATAGGAGGTATGCGGATTACGTGTTGTCACACCTGTGTGCTACCTCCTCAAAACAAGCATTGCACTGTGAACGCACAAAACTCTTTGCGTATATCGCAAACAAATGTCCCTGTGAACAGTTATTAGAAATCCCCTTCCTTTCAATTTCCGTCCATAATTGCAATTGTTTTTGTGATATATTTATACGACTCGAAACTTTATGCTTGATTTGCTCAAATGGAACAACTCTCCATCACTCGATCGTTAAAAAAGAGGAAAATGTTCTTCCTCTCTAACGTCATTTATTATTATTATTATTATTATTATTATTATTATTATTATTATTATTATTATTGTCTGCAACGTGAGCAAACTATTTCATCCCTGTCATTTTTTTACGTTTGATAAAATTAAAACCTTTACACTCAGTGCTACTCGTATACCTTAAGAATACTCATTTATGGGCCTTTTTGTGATATATCATTTTTATTTTGACTAAGGATTGTATATAAGAGTGCTGTCCACTAATTTTATTTACAACTTTATTGTAATATTCATACTCCATGTTTTTATAAGAATGTGTATCAGATTTTAGTATATTAACAAAAAAGATAGTACAGCTTATTAACCCGTTCCTCTTTAAACATCAGAAAATTAATATAAGTGAACATTTTCATCGCCTGGTTTCCATTTATCTACCTGTATTATAAATACTGGTGTCTGTATAAGGTATATATCTATACATTAATATAACAATTATACTTTATATTGTTTTAATCATAATGGTTTGTCTTTAACCTTTTCAAAATGTATTAAAACGTTTTACATTCCCTGGGCTCACCACGGTTGATTAAATGGAGCGTCATTAATTTGACTAGTGTCTTACCAGAAACTGCAACGTTTTCCAGGTATTGAATTATAGAGGTGTGTCGAGCACTTCGCATTTATTACGTCCCTGGCCAATGTGTTTGCTTGAGATGAGCAGAGGGAAAGGAAAAGCCAGATTGGCTGTTTAAAATATTTATTATGAAACTGAATAAGATGTTAAAACACATACGAGTACAGTACAACACGAATTACCCAATAAGTAAATAGAGAAAGTGAAATCCATAATACATACAGGAAGATGAAACATATGTATAAACATACAATCAGAACTTGTGTGTCTTATACTAGAGAACGTTGTAGTCATCACCCAGCTATCAGACGTTTAATGGTGTGTATAGACCATAATATTTTGGATCTTATTGTTCACATGTGTTTTCAGTTATTTGTACAATAAAAGCTACAGGGCCCTTGCTCGTTTTCAACAGTTGACTCGTGACAAAGCATGTATCGGTGTGTCTATCAGGAGTGAAGAGTTTACAAATCATCAATGTTCGTTTAAATCGAATAATTTAGTTAATAAAATATAAAAACAAATTATGTAAAAATATGTCATGTTAATCAAAATCTATACTTCCAAGAAATTATATTGAGCATGTAACCGACCGTTTCTGAAGAATGGTTGTAAACCCTTGGATTACAGAAAGGGTTATTTCACTTGCACTTTTAATCCAATATATGGGCTGAAAATGCCTTAGCGCGTATGTTTTGGTCGCCTTTCCCTTCGTTTTAGTAGTATCAAGAAGACAATTGTGCAATAGCCCCCCTACCAATGATTAAGCTAATTGCGTTGTCTTTAGTAAGAATTGTCTTGGTAAAGAGATATTTGATTCAAGTTCCCAAGTGATTTTAACCTAGTTTGCTAAAAGAAATCTCAGAAAAAGGCCGTTAATACTTCGGGTGTAATAATTCAAATGGCCTATTAAACTCTTTGTATTAGGTTACACTAGCAATCCTCTTTAACTCCTTTATAATGGAATGTTTTCTATCGAAACAACTATTCGATTTACTGAAAATTGCAACAGCGTACATACACAGTATCAAAAGTCGATAAAGCAGTAGTCTAAATAAATGACATAAAGACGACAAATAACGCCGATTTAACTGTTATAAGCGCCCTACAGTTCACGATCGATAACGCGTACAAATACAAACATTTATTCAAGCTGCGTCTTTCCTTAGTGATGCAAGGTCAAAGTTTACGTTTATACCGCCATCTTGTTGCTAATGGCAGAAAGTACACGAGTCGTCAGTTGAGAAAGGAGATGATCAGTCGCTAAGGGTTCTCAGTGTTTTCATTGTGGAATTTTCGGTTTGAATCAGGATTTTACTTGGGTGTTATCAGATGAACAATACTAGGACCAGGGTATCCGTGTTCAAGTGCCCTAACTAATAATACACGCTTTGAAGAGAACAAACGATTGTCGATCTTCGATAATTGGATACGGTGGGTTTTAATCAATGTTATTTTGGTAGTAGTATCTCTATCTTAGAGAAGAAAAATGGCTACTGCGATCGCCGAGATGCCGGCAGCACCGTACCCAGAGATAGATCAGTTTAAGCTGACGCCGAACACAACCTATCAGCAACAGTATTGTGGGGAAAATATCTCCGGCATGGGTGCCATAGACTATGAAGGAAGAAAGCAGGCACTGAAAGGGAAGATTCGTGAGATGATCCTACAGATAAGGCAGCCAAAGAAACCGTACAAGATGCACAGAGGCCCTTGGGAAGAGATGCCGGTTTCAGAAGAGGCAAGGAGAATACAGGTGGGGCTTGAGACGCGTCTGATATAGCTCACGTTTAACATTTTAAATGTAATACCAATGGCGACATTAAGCCTTTGTGTTAGCATATACATGTATATGTAGGGCCTATATACACCGGTAGCGGTAGAAACCAGCTTAGTGTTATAAGATATTAAAGTCTCTGCGACAGGATGATAGAATTATTATTCTTATACATTCTTCCATTCTGAAAAGAGTGAAAGTTTTGATAATGAGTCTGCCAGGCCTGTAGCCTACACAGTATTAATTATCAGCTTTAAGCGTTAATGACAGAACCTATAGTTTGTTTAGAAAATGTCAAAACTATCAAATTACTCAACTATGATTACCTATGCTGGTTTGTCTGACATAGTTCTTTACTTGACAAAGCTGATTTAAACTTTCAAATTATTCTGTAATTTATCAGGATAAGAGGTGGGTCGGTTAATCCTCCGTTTGAAATTACACTCAGGCTTTCTGTGCGTTAAAATGGTTTGGCTGTAAGCTACAGCAATTCAAAGCATTCAATAAAAATTTTTTTGAATGGAAACAATTATTCCCAGATCTTTTAACAGAAATTATATTAAAGTCCAAATAAATGATTAAAGGGATAATAACTCTCCGTATGAGATCTATATTTCACAATAAAAACATTGAGAACAACTCAAAGAAATATAATATATTCTGTTGTACAAGAAAAACGGCAGCTATAGCTATTATTCTGATATCTGAGCTTGTCTCTAGACCACGTTACCTCCATTGATGGCTATACTCTGTTATGATCTCTTAAGAGATTTAACAAAAGACAAACTTTTTACTAGGATCCAAAATAAAGAGGCTTTATTTTTTTAGAAAAAAAAAACAGGGACTAACTTTGAATGTAAAAATGGATTCATTAACCATTGGTAAGTATGGGAAAATTGTTGTTTACTCCAGAAAAATTCATTTTTGGCCAAAACGAAGAGTTATTATCCCTTTAAATATACGTATATGCGATCCGGAAATTCAGTATTAACCAAAACCGCCACAACTCTTTATTTCTAACCAGGGAAAATGGAATTGTCAGTTTTAATTTTAAGGAAGAGACATATTTTTCAAAACGATCTTATGAAAGGCTGATGCCATGTAGTTGCGCCAGGATCGATAACACACATAATATGACAGTCAATTACTTGTGTTGTACGTTATTGGCGTCATGGAAATGGCACCCTGCGTGCATTTTGTTTACCTTTCTTCACCTCGGCTCGTTCGTCAAATAAATTTTCATCCTTTTCACATTTCATGTGTGATTACAAGTCCACACCCATTATAGAAATAATAATGACATAAGCTGTCACCAATCTGAAGTAGACTGGGTGACAATGTAGACTGCCGTTTAACACAGGGCTTGCACAAAGACGGTGAATAAATAAAAATGTTAACCAAATATGTTATTGCTAATTTGGTGCGCTGCAATTGTGTATGTGTTTTTGTAACTCTCACAATGAAAAACAGAATAGTCAACAGGTCCACCTAAAAGACTGAATTGTGACGTTCTTTATGGTGTTTTTGAATGATGTGTATTTCACTGGGAAGATATGTTTTTTATTAATGCAAATATTTGAGAAAATTTAGAACTTTGGTGAGTTATTAGATTTCCTCAATTTCAAAATTGAGTATTTGTTCTTATGTAAGAATCAGAGGAAACATGGATGTAAACAAAATATTAAAAAGCTATTCTTTACAGAAAATACCGCTTAATTGAGTTTTACTTTTGCGTGTATGATGTCCTTAGGTCAAACCGTTTATTTCGTTAGACTGGTTTTCATTGAAATTAATTTTTGTCCCCAGTCAAAGGGTAAGACTAACTCAGAAAATTTACCTAACGGAAGACCAGGCCTATAATAACAAAAAAAATGTATAAATCTTGGACAGGTGTTTTAATCCTGAGAGTACAGAAAAAACATCTTAAATAGAAAATGAAATATACTGGTATAATTAAGGCACTGGAATAATGTTAGTAAAACTGAACCATACCACACTAAAAGTAACGATCGACATGAGAATGTGCCAGTGTTATCGTTATATGCCTTAATGTTATAAGATGTATTTTAGGGTGAAAGAGAGGCACAAGGACAAACAGGGTTAACAGATTCTAAGGACATCAGGGAAGTCGACAAAAGAAGTAAGGATGCAATGATAAAGAAAGCTGAAGACCAAGTGCGTTTAGCAGTCAAGCAATATATGGACAGCATCAACTATAAACAGCAAAAAGACAGCGCTAAAAACATGGGCAAGAAGACGCCAACCCAAGGGGGAAAGGATAATACGGTGCAAGGACGCACTGATTTAATGATCACAAGTACTGCAATGAAACCACAGCCCAAACCAGGTAAGATATGAAACGTACCGACGCTCTTGTGATTGCGTCGGCTTATCTAACGCATTCGTGACAGCAAACCTCACACACTACTATTATGCTTATTAACTCGACATTCTAATTGTATTTTTTCGATTTATTTCTTATTTTGGATCCCAATTTCATATCACTGATATTAAAAAAAAAAAAGAAAACACACACACACACACACACACACACACACACACACACACACACACTGCATAGTCGTTAATATGGATTTCATGTTTTATTCCTCGTTTCTCTGACTGTCTTTCTGTCTCCTTTAAAAATCCACCTGTACTTACCTGTAATCCATATTTAAACCAATAGCTGGGAAAGAATATTGATTAATACAATTTTGCTCGGTTTTATAATAATTATTATATTGTGTTAAGAGTTGACAAATGCACAGATTATTATTCAAAACATGCAATAGCCCCCCCCCCCTCAAAAAAAAAATATTATTATTGGAGAGGTGTAACTGATATGTGATTTATCAATTAAAAATATCAAAATGATTAAACCTCTCATTCCCATGCTAACGAGATAAAGTGCGAAATCTCTATTAACAAAACCCCATATCATAACAGCAAGAGTCAACTGTAATATGCCAATACCACACTTGGTTACAATAAAACGAACAACATTTCGATCGCTGACGCCAATGATCAATAAAGCTACGGGTTAAAAGTTAATACTCACCATACTTTTTTCGCGAAAAGGAGGCTAGAAATTACAAGTGGATTTATCTTGTTGACTTAGTCATAAAATTTTATTATGCGGTCAGAAAGAGAATTGTGACGCCCGTTCACATATGAACTTCAGCGATGACAATAAAATGTTATTCCTTATCGAACGACCGTGATGCTCCATCCGTGACTTAATTAGGCTGTTGCTATGGGCGAAAAGCAAAGAACACATTGTTTATAATGAACCACGTGGAGTCAATACATTCATTGGGTATTATTGTAGTGATAACGTACAGAGAAGACACCATATTTGTATAGAAAGAATATCAGAGCCTTCTAACAGATCAACATTCGGCAATATGTATGAGAACTGTATGTCGCCGGACTTATTTGGGTTGGAAGGTAAGAAAGATGCGTCGTTTTCACTATGTTCTTTTATCATTATGATTATTAGATTAATTTTTAAAATTTTGTTTGGGACTTAATTCGTTTTACTGTCTTGTCAAATCATTTTGTTTTAACTGGCAATGTATAAAAATAAACAGTTAAAACTATCCAAAATCTTATCATTTCAAATTCAGTAAAGAAAACCGTGTTAAAATTAATGAAATGCGGTATGTCGGGTCTATGTTCAACATATAATGGGTTTTGTGAATCAACATTTTGTTATCTATACCACAATGACAATTCGGATAAACATAATACCGCCTTAAAACAGGATGACACGCTATACGTATATTCTTAAAATGTCTTCTATTATCCGTGATATATTTTTGATGTCAACGTAAATTTTTACAGAGTCATCTTTATTTGTAATTGTCCATCTTCAAATATGGGTCTTTTTTCAAAGTTTTTAAAACCCTTTTTTTATGAAAATAGAAATATCAGCTACATGTACGAATACAAAAACCCTAAATATTTTCTAAATTGCTGAATATCGTTATGACAGATTGACAGATTTTAATATTTGAAATTCACATAGTACGATAAACCAACTTTTTCATGTTCTCAAAATAACGACAACAACGTTAAGGACGGCGTTTCCCACGAACAAGTCTATACGTTAGGTTCATGAAAGCTGAGTGGTCTGACAACTGTTAACAAGCACTGAATTAAACCTCAATCCTCTGTTATATTATACAACACAATGGCTCTTAGCCGTAAAGAGACCTCTTAGGGATGGCTACGTACGAAGTGCGTGACGAGGAATAAGCAGAGTATTGTGGTTCTAGCTGAGCAGTGGAAGATGTTCATTTGGTAAACAGAGGGAAGAGCACCCCTGCAGTTCTTAAGACGGGAGCCTATAAGAAAGGGTTTCAATGGCAGCTATAGTTTTCTATTGAATAAAACGAAGACATTTGCTGTTTTCATGTGTTAAACGCACAACAGAACACATATTATGGCTATGGCTATGGCTATGGCTGATGAAAACCTGTAATAGGTTTCTGAACCCATTACTAGACAGAACATGACATTTCAGCGCTAATGTCAGAGATTTCAGAAGAATGTACGGGAGAATATCGATAATATCCTTATCTTCAAGCAAAAAAAAAAAAAAAGATTAATATTCGAAAATTAAAAAAAGGTAGAAATGCCAAAGACGGTCAGGTGAATATTAAGAGTCATCTGGTGCACATCACACTAGCATACGTTAAAATAAACATATAAACAAGGGAGAAACACACGTTGTTGCCCTTGGCGTCTTTGATACGTCCCTCCAATAATCAGGGTATCGATTTTAACGCGTTGGGACAGTGTTCTTGTTATCAATAATTCAGAAAAGGGTCAGCGTTAAGTAGGCCTGTTAATCAGCAGGTAATTTGATCATAAAATCCTTCGCTTTATTGACATACGTAATATGTAGTTTCACTGGTAGACTGCCACAGGTTAAATTTTCTCTGTGACTGTCAGAAGTCTAACCTTTATGAGACAAACTATATACCAGCCGTGAAAATGA